AAAGAGTTGATCCCCAAGGAGATAATGAGATGCTCTGGGATCTCCAGACCCAGTGACACTGTGTAAAATACGACCTGAATGGATGAAATCCTGTGGAAAATGAAGTTCTACCAGGACAAGAGTTCTGAGGAAAGAAGAGGAAATTCAGGCCCTAGTATGGTTTCTGATGAATAATGAAAGGCACCAGGTACTGAAAGCTGAGCTACTGGGTGAGTCCCATGTTGGAGGCCAGCGTGGCAAATTTGCCTGGCTTTGCTCTTCCTTCCAGCCTGCCTCCCTTTCTTTCCTTCCTGGAGATAAGAGCCAGGGTCTTACCTATTCCTTCTCAGTTTGGCATCCACTAGAAATGAAAACCAAACTTCTAATGGTGAAGCATGTTACATCAAATTGAGCCAAATGCAAGGAGCCATAGTTTCTGGAAATGACTGGCTTGATTTTCTTTCTCTCCTTTTTTTATTTTTCAAATTGGAGTGGTAGCAGCAGAGCAACAGAAAGGAAGGCTGGTTCTCTCTTGTGGGGCAATACTACCATCCTGAGGAAATCCTTTGAAGAAGCCCCACCCCCTGAGCCCATCCTGCATGAAAGGCCTAGGAGCTGACCAAGACAGGACCCTGGGGTGCCTGAGGTCCCATTACGAATCTAGGCCTCCAGGCCTATTATTGGTCTAAGGCCAGGTCAGAGCAAAGCACCATGAGTGCAGAGTCCTATTGTAGAATGTGGAGCATTAGGGACAGCAGGACTGAGCCTACAGGTGCCTCAGTATGCCCCGTCCTGCTGTTGTCACACACCTGCAAGGAGGGATCATACTGCATTCAGTCTTGATCCATCTGGACCCTCCTGGGAGAGCTGCTTCTACTGTAGGCCTCCCACTGGTCCCACCAGGCCTGGTGCCTGGGTCTACATCTGGGACGGAAGTGAGTCAGGCACACAGCCCAGTGTCCTGCTGCCTACATTCCCTCTTCCCCATGTCCTTGGTGTAAACATTTTCTACTCCTTCCTAGGCAAGCGTACCTGAGCTTTGGCATCCAAGAGCCCAAGACAGTGGGATACCATGAGGAACCACCAGAGAAGAAGGCTGAGTGAAGAGTAGACATGGGAAGAGGTGGTCACGTGGAAAATGAGTTCACAAAGAAAAAAGATGAAACAGGGTAGGCCGGTTTTTTTGTTTGTTTGTTTTCTTTCTTTTTTTTTTTTTTTTTTTTAAGAGAGAGAGAATTTTAATATTTATTTTTTAGTTTTCGGCGGACACAACATCTTTGTTTGTATGTGGTGCTGAGGATCGAACCCGGGCTGCACGCATGCCAGGCGAGCGCAATACCGCTTGAGCCACATCCCCAGCCCAAGGGTAGGCCCTTTTTGACTTTTTGGTTATTGTTTGTTCAATGTGGTCCTGCCATGGAACCCAGGACTGTGAATGTTAGATCTCACGTTGATATCCAATAGAACCCAAAAGGAAAATTTTAGCAGGGGAGCACATTTCCTGAGATTGAGGAAAATGCAAGTCAGCCACACTTTCTGGAGTGAGTGTCTCTTCTTCTGACAATTTTTTTTTTTCTTTTAAATTGGAGAGGCACACACAATGGGCCTGGAGTCAAGTCTGGTGAAAGAAAAATTTTCATAGAGTCCCACCCCATGAATAAGTTCTGCATGAATGTCTTAGCAGGTAAAGGAGGCAGGGCCAATAGCAGTTCTATTGGGCTGAAGTTCCAGCTGGGCTTAGCAACCTCCTCGTTGGGGGCCTCGCAGGACCAAAGCACAAAGGCAGAGTCTTGCAGAAGCTGATCCGTGAGAGACACCAGCTTTGCCTCCAATGGTGCCAAAAAAACTGGCCTGTCTTGCTGTTCTCACCCAGCTTCGAGGCAGGATCCATGCGCTGTTAAACTGATGTCACAAAAGGGCATTCTGTGTCTTGCTCCAGTGGAGAAACACGAGGCAAGTGCCCTCAGTAACCTGCGTTGGCCTTTGACAGGGTTACTCTGGTCCAGTCCTCACAGATTCCTACCAAGGCCCTGCCCCCAAGAGTGTTACTGGTCCCCTGGGGAACCCTGGCTCTCCAGGGTTCTCTCTTTCTTCTTTCTTTGGCTCTCCAGGTGCTTTGCTGAGAGAGCACCAGCGCCCAGGTCTCCCTCAGGCCCCTGGGAGAAGGCAATGAGGCCCATTCATTCAAGCCTCCTTCCCAGGAGGCCTAGCAGTTGCGCAGATGGGGCAGGCAGGGAGTTGGAAGATCCTTGGGCTCCGATCTGGGCCTCCTTGCCTTCTCCTAGGGCCCTGAGGGAGACCTGGGCACTGGCCCTAGAGTCAGTTCAAGGACTGTGGCCCGTCCTGCCCAGATGGCAACCCAAGCCTCTTGCAGCTTGCTCCACAAAAGCCAGATCCTCCCCAACACCTAGGTCTCCTGGGAAGGAGGCTTCAGTGGAGCACAGTGTTTGCTACCTGTTTCCTCAGGATGGTGGGAGTGCTCCAGCCAAGTCCACCAGCCTGGATCCTGAGTGCTCTTCTGCTCTTCTTTTCTGTACAAGTGCCAGCCAGAGACAAAATCACCTGGGAACATTCACCTTGGGTTTTGCTACCATTGTTGGAGTACATTCTCAATGGTGCCTTTTTCTTTTGCATTGTTTCATTGTTAATAATTAAAAAAAAATTTTTTTAGTTGTAGATGGAAACAATACCTTTATTTTATTTTTTATTTATTTTTATGTGGTGCTGAGGATCGAACCCAGTGCCTCACACATACGAGGCAAGCACTCTGCCACTGAGCCACAATCTCAGTTTAAAAAAAATTTTTTTTTCCCCTATTAAATTTTGAAGTTTTTTGTAGGGGGGGAGGCATACCAGGGATTGATCTCAGGAGCACCGGACTGCTGAGCCACATCCCCAGCCCTATTTTGTATTGTTTAATTTAGCAACAGGGTCTCACTGAGTTGCTTAGTGCATTGCAGTTGCTGAGGCTGGCTTTGAACTCGGGATTCTCCTGTCTCAGCCTCCCCAGCCTCTGGGATTACAGGTCTGCATTACTGCACCAGGTTTAAGTTGTGAACTTTTGAGGTAGGTTGACCAGGCGGGCCTCCATCTGTTGGTGTTTTGCTTCAGCCTCCCAGGCCTTTCTTCTGCTTTTGTTTTTAATTTGGAATTAAGTGGAGGCATGAATCCTCACCCTGGCATCATTACTCTGGTTCTTGGGAATTTAATTTGCCCCATGGTACCTTCTCCACTCCCTTATTATTTACTTTGCTTCTCTTTACTTGCCCAGCAGTTCACAGAGCTAACACAAGACCAGATAAATTACAAAGTATCTTTGACTCTTTTTCTAACACATGTGATAACTTTGAAAAAATATATAGTCATATATGTGTCCTTCAGAGTTGAGAGGTAGATCAGTCATGCATCCTAGGCATTTTTTTTTCCATGCTATAAGAATACTGGAGGGTTACTATTTTTGAAAAAATAAAATTTTGCCAGTTGTCCTGGTGCATGCCCGTGTCCTGGTGGCCAGTATGGCTAAGACAGGAGGAACGCAAATTGCAAAGTTGCTACCACATAGCGAGACAATTAGTTACCTTAAAAGATCCTGTCCCCAAATAAAAACTCATTAGAAGTTTAAGAAAAGGATTGGGCATGCCGCTCTGTGGTTGAGCATTCGTGGGTTCAATGCCCAGTACCAAAACCAGAAAAAGGAATAAAATGTGTTTGGCTCATGGTTCTGGAGACAGGAATGTCCACGAACATGGCCTGGGGATGTGCATGCCCATTGGTGAGAGTCTTTGGGCTACATCATAATATAGGAAAGGCTATCATGAGGCCAGACAGAGCAGTCCCGCTGAAGAGTGTTGACTCTGATAGCAAAGTCACTCCTGAGCACACCTATTAATCCCTGAATGGCCTGATCTCTGCATGAAGGCAGGGTCCTCATGAGCCACTCACCTCCCACAGTCCCTCCAAATACCATCAACCTGTAATTCAGGGATTCAGGTTTCAACCCAGGAATTCCAGGGGACACACACCGCACTATTAGAGATAGGTCATGCTGTCATTTCAATGTTTGTTCGATGCTGTGGTTTCCATCAAAACCACTAAGACACCAGGTCAGGAGTTCATAGCTGTGATCCTATTGACTAGGAATTTCACCTTTCTCCTTTAGGCTTCAAATGTATAAAACAGAGTTTTAGGAAGGATGACATTCATGAGAGTTCATGTTCCTCAGCTCCTCAATGCTGCGTTAAATAGAAGTCTGCTCTAAATTATGTTAGGAGCATTAATTCAAATTTTTATAGATTTTTTTTCCCCTCAAGTGAGACTGATTCTACACAAATGTAGGTATAGATTTAACAATATACATAGAAAGAATCCAAAAGGTGAATGGGTCATCTGGAAGGTTTCCTGCTGGTGCTTTTCTTTGTTTTAGCACATGCTCCTTTTGGACTCCTCCTCAAACATCACTCTTTAATTCACTAAATTCTAGAGCTTTGTGGCCCATACCTATAATCCCAGCAGTATGAGAGGCCAAGGCAGGAGGACTGCAAGCTAGTAGGCAGACTCAGCAATGAGTGAGGCCCTAAGCAAGTTAGCAAGAGCCTGTTTCCCGAGAAAAAAATTAAAATTTCAGGGATAGGGTCGTATGGGGTTTGTTGCTCAGTAGTACGGCAAAAATATATAAATAAATACTTTTGAAGGGGGGAAAAAAAAAACTACTTCTTGATGACGTGATTCTGTAAGCTTTTTTTTTTTTTTTTTTTTTTTGGTGGTGGTGGTGTTTTTTCAGACAGGAAGGGCTGGAGAAGAGTGCTCAGGAAGAGGGCTGGTGGCCATGTCTGCAGCTCTACTGCCATCGTGCGGAAACAGTTTCACGACACCCAGCTCCATTCAAGCCTCCTTCCCAGGAGGCCTAGTTCTTGGTCAGATCCGGCAGGCAGGGAGTTGGAAGATCCTTGGGCTCAGATCTGGGCCTCCTTGCCTTTTCCTAGGGCCCTGAGGGAGACCTGGGCACTGGCCCCTGAGGTCGGTTCAAGGACTGTGGCCTGTCCTGCCAGTGTCTGGGCCTTTGGCACTTGGCGGGCGGGTTGCTCATCTCTACCATAGAGGAGTCCATCAGGCCAACGGGACCTATGCAGGTTGCTGCCGGGTACTTCTCTGATGAGCCAGAAGGAGAGCCATCGCAGCCCATGATAAGCACAGACATGGTGGCCATGCACAGCTGTGGCTGCAAGCACAGCTCTGGGGGCACTACCATCTGCCTGCAGCACATAATCTCCTCTCTGCTTGGGACACATCAACCCTGGACATCAGTAGCTAAGCAAGAAACAGCTGTCTTGCCTCTGGTTGTTGGCCTGCTAAAACAACTGCCCCCAGTCCCTGCTTCAGGGAATTCAGCTCCTCCCTGCACTTGGCGCCTTAGCCCTGGGCGACCTCCCTGCATGCGCCCTAAGTGGGTCCCTCCACTCCAGTCCAAGCAGCTCCTATGGAGGCCCCGCCCCACGACTTCCTCTGACACCAGCTCCTGCCCACTGCTAGTCCCCTCAGGTCCCTGGCTCTCCGGGTTCTTTGCTGAGAGCGCGCCAGAGCCCAGGTCTCCCTCAGGACCCTGGGAGAAGGCCAGGAGGCCCAGAGGGCAGCCCAAGCCGCTTGGAACTCGCTCCTTGAAACACAGATCCTCCCCCACAGCGAGGCCTCCTGGGAAGGAGGCTTGAGTGGCGCAGGGCGTCTTGAAACTGGTTCCGCACGGTGGCGGTAGAGCTCCAGCTATGGCCAGCAGCCCTGGGCCTGAGCGCGCCTCTCCCGCCCTGGCTGTCTGAAAAAACGCCACCCAGACAAAGGCACCAGGCAACATGGCCGCCCTGTCCTTTGCCCAGTTCTGAGGAAGCAGCTCCCGATGCTGCTTTTGCTTTTTCAGTATTTGTGGCGTTTGGTTCACGATGTTTGCCTCTGTCGTGATTCTGCCCGAGACAGGCTTTGCCGTGTTGCCCAGGACCAGCTGGAAATCGTGGTGCCAGTGCAGCAGCTTCCAGCTCCTCTCTCCTGTTGTTTTCCATCTGAACTCTGACCAAGGCCTGAGTGCCATCCTCCCCTGGGCCTCCCCTCTCTCTGGTGGAACGTTCAGGGAGGCCCTGCTCATTCAGTCTGTTCTGAGTTGAACTGCACCCAGTCTTCCTCCCTCTGTAGTTTGTGAGTGCTCAGACCAGGTGAGAGAAATGACACGGTTCGGTTTGTTTTTTACTCTTTTTAGGACACAAGAAGTTGGGAATCCAACGTGTCAATATGTATGTCTTCCAGAGAGCCAATGTGCACATGGTGATGTGTCTTAGTCTAGGTTCTGTTGCCATAACAAAAATACCTGAAGCTGAGTATTTTGTAAGAAATGGACATTTCCTGTCCTCATGGTTGTGGAGATGGGAAATCTAAGAATAGGACCTCAGTGTCTGCTGAGCCGTTGGTGGGGGTCTTCTTGCTTAATCATAATGTGGAAGAGGCCAGCACAGAGAGACAGAGGAAGCTTCTTGGAGACACCTGGCTTTTATAGCAGAGTCACTCCCCACAAAACCTATGAATCCATGAGTGGACTGATCAGTGCCTGTGCATGAGGGCAGAGTTCTCATGAGCCAGTGACCTCCCAGAAATACTTCAGTTCCCGTTCACACATAATTTTGGGATTAACTTTCCGACAATGGGTTTCCAGGGCACAACCATTGAAACCATACTATGAAGTGACTTTTAAAGTTGAATGAAAATCGCTAGCATCATCTACTTTTCTAAAGTGGCCTTAAAAAACGAGTCTGTCACAAGGAGAGAGAGAGGAAGCTTCTTCGAGACACCTGACTGGTGTCCTCCAGCCTGGATGTTGGTTTATTTTCAAGTTTCCCCTTTAGATTTCAGGCAGAGAATGTTGAGGTAGGGGACTTGGTGTTGTGGTATTCATGTATTTTATGTCCTCTAGGCTGTGGTGAATGCAGACATGGGAAGAAGTGGTCACGTGGAAAGTGAGTTCAAAAAGAGAGAGAGAACATGAAAATGGGGTGAGTTGTTTTTTTTTTTTTTTAATGTGGTCCTTGGATATAACCCAGGACTCTGTTCATTAGATCTCACGTTGATATGCAATGGAACCCAAAAGAAATTTTTTACCAGGGGAGCAAGTTTTCTGAGATTGAGCAAAATGCAAGGCAGCCGTAGTTTCTGGAGTGTTTCTCCTCTGGCCATTTTATTTATTTATTTCTTCCAATTGGAGGGGCACAAGTGGAGCACCTAGAGGGAAGTCTGGTTAGGGAAACATTTTCATTGGGTCCCATCCCATGTGCATTTAATGCATGACAGCCCTAGCAGTAAGGCAGGGAGGGCCAGTACCAGGTCCGATGGTCCAAGATACAAGCTGGGCTTAGCAACCTCCTTGTGGAGGGCCACGCAGGACCAAAGCACAAAGGTATAGTCTTGTAGGAAGTGATCCGTGAGGGACACTAGGATTGATTACACAGGTGCCACCTGAGCTGGCCTATCGGGCTTTTCTCACTGAGCTGAGAGGACAGTGACATCACAAACGGGCATTGTGTGTCTTGCTCCAAGGTGAGGGACAAGAGGCTAGTGCCCCCAGAAACCTGCAGTAGCCTGTGAGAGGGTTTGTCTGTTCCAGTCCACACAGCTTCCTACCAAGGCCCTGCCTTGTGACTTCCTATGACACCATCTCCTGGCTGCTGCTGCTTCCCTGGGGGCCCCTGGTCCTGTGGGTTCTTTGGGAAGAGACAGCCATTGATCAGGTTTCTCTTAGGGCCCTGGGAGAATGTTTGGAAATCCAGATTGCACCCAAGCCTCTTGTAACTCCCTACACAATTCAGTTTCTCCGAGCTAACACCAAGAGCAGATAAATAATAATGTCAATTGTTTTTGACTCTATTTCTAACATATGTGCTAACTTTGAAAAAACACATCAGTATGTATGTGTCTTACAAAGTTGATAGGCATATCTGTCATGCATCTTAGGCATATGTGTATGTATGTAAATATATATATATATATATATATTTTTTTTTTTTTTCTTTTTTCGATAAGACTATTGGGTGGTGACTGTTTTAAAAAGAATCAAATTTCACTAAGTGCCCTGGCACTTTCCTGTGTTCCTGACAGCCTGGGTGGCTGAGGCAGGATTGGCGAACTTGTTACAACTTAGCAATACCCTTAGATAACTTAGAGAGATCCTGTACCGAAATAAAAAATAATAATCATTTTAAGAAAAGGATTAGACGTTTCTCTCCATGGTTAAGCACCCCTGTGATCAATGCCCGATACCAAAGCCAAAAAAAAAAAAAAAAAAAAAAAAAGAAAAGAAAAGAAAAAGTTTATTTGGCTCAAGTTTCTGAAGACAGGAGTGTCCACGAACATGGTCTGGGGATCTCCTTGACCATTGGTGAGGGTCTTTGGGCTAAATCCTAACATAGAAGAGGCCATCATGAGGCCAGACAGAGCTGTCCCGCTGGAGAGAATTGACTTTGGTAGCAAAGTCACTCTCCTAAGGAAACTTATGAATCCTTGAATGGACTGATCTGTGTATGAAGGGTGAGTCCGGTAGAGCCAGTCACCTCCCAAAGTGCCTCCAAATATGATCAACCTGTAATTCAGGGATTCAAGTTTCAACACAGGAATTCCAGGGGACACACACCGCACTATTAGAGATAGGTCATGCTGTCATTTCAGTGTTTGTTCGATGCTGTGATTTCCATCAAAACCACTAAGACGCCGGGTGTGGTGGTCCTCTCCTGTAATTCCAGCAGCTATGGATTTCACTTTTCTTCTTTAGGCTTCAAAGGTGGTAAAAAGGGTGTAGTACAGATAACAGTAATGAGAGTTTATGCGCACCAACTCCTTAAAGCTGTGGTAAACAGCCACCAGCTCCAAACAATAATATAAGCATTAATTCAATTTTATTGCAGATTTTTCTTTCGAGTGAGACTAATTCTACACAAATGTAAGTGTAGATCGATCATCAGGCATAGAAAGAATCCAAAAAAGTACTGGGTCCCCTGGAAGATTGCCTGAAGGTGCTTTTCTTTCTCTTGGCACATGCTTATGTTTTGACTCCTTGTCAAATATCATTCTTTTTTTAAATTTTAATTTTTTTAGTTGTTGATAGAACTTTATTTGTATTTATGTATAAGTGGTACAGAGAGTCTAAACGAGTGCCTCACATGTGCTAGACAAGCGCTTTACCGCGGAGCCACCACCCGGGTCCCCTCAAATATCATTCTTCAGTTCACTAAAGAGAAGGGCTTTGTGGCCCACACTTATACTCCCAGCAACATGAGAGGCTAAGACAGGAGTATGGCAAGCTAGAGGCCAGAGTGAGGCCCTAAGCAAGATAGCAAGTCCCTGTGTAAGAATAAAAAGTAATCTTTGAGGTGGAGCAGTGGTACTGGGTATGTTGCTTAGTGGTTCAGCATCCCTGTGTTCAATCATCCCTAAAAAAAATAAATAAATAAAAACCAAGAAATATAAAGAACCGAGGGTAAATTACTGTTGAAGGGGGAAAAAAAAAAAAAAACAGCAAATGATGATTCTGTAAGCCAGTTGATAAATTATTTATGGCCAAAAAATATACATAAAATGCACAGATACAACACCATAGAGTCACTGTAAATGGTAGAAGTGTATTTCATGCCATGGGAAAATGTTATGTTTTATGGGAAGAAAATGATGGAAATGGATGCAAAAGTCTAAGTATCACACCATCCTCGGATTGCTCATGAGAAGTTATTGCCACCAATCTAGTTCACAAGACACCAAACCAAAGGAATGCTGGAGTCCCCGCTGGCCTTGGAGCATGGCCAGGTCACTGACCACCTGGGTTGGTGACTGGTTGGCCACAGAAGATCTCCTCTAGCTTCAGCAGCTTCCTCAGTTGTCTGCTTTCATCCCAGGGATTTTTCCTCTGATGGCTGTTTGCTGTTTGTGATCTGCAGAGTCGGTAACACTGAGCTGCACTCCAATGGGCCAGATCCTGTGGAAATGAAGTTCCACCCGCACAGGTGTCCTCAGGAAGGAGGAGTAGATTCAGGCTTCTGATGAAACCTGAAAGCAGTCCTGTGCTGGAGACCAAGGTAGGAAGGCCTCAAGTTGGAGGCCAGTCTGGCCAACATGGAAACTCCGGTCTCAAAATTAAGAAATGAAAAAGTTTTTGAAGATCCTAATCCAAATCCCCAAATAAAAAGGCAACTTGGAATCCTAGCGGTGGCTCCACAGGTTGATTCGGGAGGATTTCCAGTTGAAAGCCAGCCTCAGCAAGGGCAAGTTGAGGGACTAAGCAAATCAGTGAGAGCCTGTCTCTAAATAAATTACAAAATAGGGATGCGGATGTTGCTCAGTGCTTAAATGCCCCTGAATTCAATGCCTGGTACCAAAAAAAAAAAAAAAAAAAAAAAAAAACAGACTGGACAGCTTGTTCCTTCTCTGAGGGCAAAAGACAAGGGAGCCAGGTTTCCTTAGCCTTTTTCTCTGGGCAGCGTTTTTTCAGACAGGAAGGGCGGGAGAAGGGCTCCCAGGATGAGTCCTGGTAGCCATGTCTGCAGCTCTACTGCCATCGTGCGGAAACAGTTTCAAGAAGACACCCAGCGCCATTCATGCCTCCTTCCCAGGAGGCCTTGCTGTTGGGCAGATCGGACAGGCAGGGAGTTGGAAGATCCTTGGGCTGCCATCTGGGCCTCCTTGCCTTCTCCTAGGGCCCTGAGGGAGACCTGGGCAGTGGCGCTCCCTCACCATAGAACCTGCAGAGCAGGGGGCCCAGAGCTGACTAGCAGCAGCCAGGAATTGCTCTCACAGGAAGTCGTGGGGCGGGGCCTCGTTGCTCAACTGTGTGGACTTCACCTGAGGGACACTGTGCAAAGGGTAATGCAGGCCCTTGTGGATACTGTTTCCTTGTTCAGGTCCCTTGGAGCAAGATATAGCAGTCCCTTATGTGAAGTCACCATGCTGTTGTGCTCGGATCCCTTAGCCCCCAGGTGGAGCCCAAAGGACATGTCAGTTTTGGGTGGCATAGGGCAGCATCAGAAGTGTGTCCAGTTGTTTGCAGGCAGGCCTAATTGTCTGGAGGCTAGGGTGGTCTGAAGAGAAGGGCAGAGAAGAATTGGAAGAACTTGCAGTGCAGCCGATCTGCTAAAGACAAGCACCAAGAACGCTTATGTTTGCAAAGCTGTTATTTGGTGGAGCCTATGCAAAAATTCACTTAAAATGCATCAAGGATCTCCTCATGAAAACCACACGGACAGCATTTGAAAGACAAATGTAGGCCTACATGTTGCTGTCCATGGATGTGGCAATGTTGTCTTGAAAACACTGCTGAAAGCAGAAATGAGAGAAGAATGACTGGATGGTCAGGAAGTCATCTCCTTTTGCTTCCAAGGGAGTGACCAACAATAGGAAGAGGCAGCTCACAGAATAAGAGAAAAAAGTTGCAATTACCTGGGAACATTCTCACACTCAGAATTTTTGAGGAAACTGGGCTTCGCAACCTCTTTGTATCGCCAGGCTGAGACAAAGCAGAAATGCAGAGTCTGGGTGCAGAACCTGGATAATGATGGACACCAGGAATGTGCACACAGGTACCACCAGAACAGACCTGACCTTGATGTTCTCAACACTGTGAGGAGGGATCCCCGTGCCATTGCACAGTGACATCAAGAAAGTGCATGTTCCTTCTTGTTCCAAGGGGAACAACACAAGGCTGGTACCCTCAAGAGACTGCATTAGCCTTTTTCCCGGTTTTTTTTTTTTTTTCTTTCTTTCTTTTCTTTTTTTTGACAGAGTATAGAGGTGGTTTATTTTACTGAGTTGGAAAGTTTTCGTGTTTATTAATCCGAATGTTATAATGAATGACCCCTTCCCAGATAATTAACACTTTGCATTTTAAACGTTTATTTCTGTAGGACATCTTCTATCATTGGAAGCAGAAGGCACGAGGGAAAAGATAGTCGTCCACCTCCCCTTGAGGGCTCACATCCAGCAGTCGATGGGGCGCCCCAGGATCCACAAGCAGCTTATAGTAGGTGACAGAAACCTGTTCTTCTGGGCTCAGTAATTGCAAGGAAGGGCACTTCTCAGTAGCTGGTGAGTCACAGAAAGCCTCACAGCCCTGCAGGTGAGTAACAGAGGGCGCTCCCAGGTCAGCTGCTCAGTGGGGCCTGGGCCCCCATAGCTGAATACACTGGAAATGCCCTATTATGGGGTTCGGAGAGCAACAGGCTGCCCTTCTAAGAGGGACTTTGGCCCGCAGGGACCTTAGGACCTTCCAGTGCCCGCAGGTAGCCCAGTACACCTGTCCAAGGGCTGTGGCCTGTCCTGCCAGTGCCTAGCCATTGGGCACTGTGTGGGGGGTGGGGGGGGCGCGGGGGTTAGGGGTGTAGGTTGCTCATCTCTTGCAGGAAGATGCTGCTGCCTGGTATTGCAGCAGTCAATGGGCTGCCTAGTCAACCTCAGCCCCTGATGAGTGCAGACCCAGTAGCCAGGCACAACTGTCATTGCATGACCAGCTCTCCTGGAGCTAGCTGCTGCCTGCACACAAAATTTCCTCTTCCCAGCAGGTGGCGGCAGCAACAACACAGGAAACAGACGCCCTGGCTCAGGTTCCTGTTCTCCCAAAAGAGCTGCCCCTGGCCATGGCTTCTGGGAATTCAGCGCCTCCTCGCGCTGGGCACCTAGGCCCAGGGAGACCTCCCTGGATTGCCCCTTAGTGGGTCCCTCCGCTCCAGTCCAAGCAGCTCCTATGGAGGCCCCGCCCCACGACTTCCTCTGACACCAGCTCCTGCCCACTGCTAGTCCCCTCAGGTCCCTGGCTCTCCGGGTTCTTTGCTGAGAGCGCGCCAGAGCCCAGGTCTCCCTCAGGACCCTGGGAGAAGGCCAGGAGGCCCAGAGGGCAGCCCAAGCCGCTTGGAACTCGCTCCTTGAAACACAGATCCTCCCCCACAGCGAGGCCTCCTGGGAAGGAGGCTTGAGTGGCGCAGGGCGTCTTGAAACTGGTTCCGCACGGTGGCGGTAGAGCTCCAGCTATGGCCAGCAGCCCTGGGCCTGAGCGCGCCTCTCCCGCCCTGGCTGTCTGAAAAAACGCCACCCAGACAAAGGCACCAGGCAACATGGCCGCCCTGTCCTTTGCCCAGTTCTGAGGAAGCAGCTCCCGATGCTGCTTTTGCTTTTTCAGTATTTGTGGCGTTTGGTTCACGATGTTTGCCTCTGTCGTGATTCTGCCCGAGACAGGCTTTGCCGTGTTGCCCAGGACCAGCTGGAAATCGTGGTGCCAGTGCAGCAGCTTCCAGCTCCTCTCTCCTGTTGTTTTCCATCTGAACTCTGACCAAGGCCTGAGTGCCATCCTCCCCTGGGCCTCCCCTCTCTCTGGTGGAACGTTCAGGGAGGCCCTGCTCATTCAGTCTGTTCTGAGTTGAACTGCACCCAGTCTTCCTCCCTCTGTAGTTTGTGAGTGCTCAGACCAGGTGAGAGAAATGACACGGTTCGGTTTGTTTTTTACTCTTTTTAGGACACAAGAAGTTGGGAATCCAACGTGTCAATATGTATGTCTTCCAGAGAGCCAATGTGCACATGGTGATGTGTCTTAGTCTAGGTTCTGTTGCCATAACAAAAATACCTGAAGCTGAGTATTTTGTAAGAAATGGACATTTCCTGTCCTCATGGTTGTGGAGATGGGAAATCTAAGAATAGGACCTCAGTGTCTGCTGAGCCGTTGGTGGGGGTCTTCTTGCTTAATCATAATGTGGAAGAGGCCAGCACAGAGAGACAGAGGAAGCTTCTTGGAGACACCTGGCTTTTATAGCAGAGTCACTCCCCACAAAACCTATGAATCCATGAGTGGACTGATCAGTGCCTGTGCATGAGGGCAGAGTTCTCATGAGCCAGTGACCTCCCAGAAATACTTCAGTTCCCGTTCACACATAATTTTGGGATTAACTTTCCGACAATGGGTTTCCAGGGCACAACCATTGAAACCATACTATGAAGTGACTTTTAAAGTTGAATGAAAATCGCTAGCATCATCTACTTTTCTAAAGTGGCCTTAAAAAACGAGTCTGTCACAAGGAGAGAGAGAGGAAGCTTCTTCGAGACACCTGACTGGTGTCCTCCAGCCTGGATGTTGGTTTATTTTCAAGTTTCCCCTTTAGATTTCAGGCAGAGAATGTTGAGGTAGGGGACTTGGTGTTGTGGTATTCATGTATTTTATGTCCTCTAGGCTGTGGTGAATGCAGACATGGGAAGAAGTGGTCACGTGGAAAGTGAGTTCAAAAAGAGAGAGAGAACATGAAAATGGGGTGAGTTGGTTTTTTTTTTTTTTAATGTGGTCCTTGGATATAACCCAGGACTCTGTTCATTAGATCTCACGTTGATATGCAATGGAACCCAAAAGAAATTTTTTACCAGGGGAGCAAGTTTTCTGAGATTGAGCAAAATGCAAGGCAGCCGTAGTTTCTGGAGTGTTTCTCCTCTGGCCATTTTATTTATTTATTTCTTCCAATTGGAGGGGCACAAGTGGAGCACCTAGAGGGAAGTCTGGTTAGGGAAACATTTTCATTGGGTCCCATCCCATGTGCATTTAATGCATGACAGCCCTAGCAGTAAGGCAGGGAGGGCCAGTACCAGGTCCGATGGTCCAAGATACAAGCTGGGCTTAGCAACCTCCTTGTGGAGGGCCACGCAGGACCAAAGCACAAAGGTATAGTCTTGTAGGAAGTGATCCGTGAGGGACACTAGGATTGATTACACAGGTGCCACCTGAGCTGGCCTATCGGGCTTTTCTCACTGAGCTGAGAGGACAGTGACATCACAAACGGGCATTGTGTGTCTTGCTCCAAGGTGAGGGACAAGAGGCTAGTGCCCCCAGAAACCTGCAGTAGCCTGTGAGAGGGTTTGTCTGTTCCAGTCCACACAGCTTCCTACCAAGGCCCTGCCTTGTGACTTCCTATGACACCATCTCCTGGCTGCTGCTGCTTCCCTGGGGGCCCCTGGTCCTGTGGGTTCTTTGGGAAGAGACAGCCATTGATCAGGTTTCTCTTAGGGCCCTGGGAGAATGTTTGGAAATCCAGATTGCACCCAAGCCTCTTGTAACTCCCTACACAATTCAGTTTCTCCGAGCTAACACCAAGAGCAGATAAATAATAATGTCAATTGTTTTTGACTCTATTTCTAACATATGTGCTAACTTTGAAAAAACACATCAGTATGTATGTGTCTTACAAAGTTGATAGGCATATCTGTCATGCATCTTAGGCATATGTGTATGTATGTAAATATATATATATATATATATATTTTTTTTTTTTTTCTTTTTTCGATAAGACTATTGGGTGGTGACTGTTTTAAAAAGAATCAAATTTCACTAAGTGCCCTGGCACTTTCCTGTGTTCCTGACAGCCTGGGTGGCTGAGGCAGGATTGGCGAACTTGTTACAACTTAGCAATACCCTTAGATAACTTAGAGAGATCCTGTACCGAAATAAAAAATAATAATCATTTTAAGAAAAGGATTAGACGTTTCTCTCCATGGTTAAGCACCCCTGTGATCAATGCCCGATACCAAAGCCAAAAAAAAAAAAAAAAAAAAAAAAAAGAAAAGAAAAGAAAAAGTTTATTTGGCTCAAGTTTCTGAAGACAGGAGTGTCCACGAACATGGTCTGGGGATCTCCTTGACCATTGGTGAGGGTCTTTGGGCTAAATCCTAACATAGAAGAGGCCATCATGAGGCCAGACAGAGCTGTCCCGCTGGAGAGAATTGACTTTGGTAGCAAAGTCACTCTCCTAAGGAAACTTATGAATCCTTGAATGGACTGATCTGTGTATGAAGGGTGAGTCCGGTAGAGCCAGTCACCTCCCAAAGTGCCTCCAAATATGATCAACCTGTAATTCAGGGATTCAAGTTTCAACACAGGAATTCCAGGGGACACACACCGCACTATTAGAGATAGGTCATGCTGTCATTTCAGTGTTTGTTCGATGCTGTGATTTCCATCAAAACCACTAAGACGCCGGGTGTGGTGGTCCTCTCCTGTAATTCCAGCAGCTATGGATTTCACTTTTCTTCTTTAGGCTTCAAAGGTGGTAAAAAGGGTGTAGTACAGATAACAGTAATGAGAGTTTATGCGCACCAACTCCTTAAAGCTGTGGTAAACAGCCACCAGCTCCAAACAATAATATAAGCATTAATTCAATTTTATTGCAGATTTTTCTTTCGAGTGAGACTAATTCTACACAAATGTAAGTGTAGATCGATCATCAGGCATAGAAAGAATCCAAAAAAGTACTGGGTCCCCTGGAAGATTGCCTGAAGGTGCTTTTCTTTCTCTTGGCACATGCTTATGTTTTGACTCCTTGTCAAATATCATTCTTTTTTTAAATTTTAATTTTTTTAGTTGTTGATAGAACTTTATTTGTATTTATGTATAAGTGGTACAGAGAGTCTAAACGAGTGCCTCACATGTGCTAGACAAGCGCTTTACCGCGGAGCCACCACCCGGGTCCCCTCAAATATCATTCTTCAGTTCACTAAAGAGAAGGGCTTTGTGGCCCACACTTATACTCCCAGCAACATGAGAGGCTAAGACAGGAGTATGGCAAGCTAGAGGCCAGAGTGAGGCCCTAAGCAAGATAGCAAGTCCCTGTGTAAGAATAAAAAGTAATCTTTGAGGTGGAGCAGTGGTACTGGGTATGTTGCTTAGTGGTTCAGCATCCCTGTGTTCAATCATCCCTAAAAAAAATAAATAAATAAAAACCAAGAAATATAAAGAACCGAGGGTAAATTACTGTTGAAGGGGGAAAAAAAAAAAAAAACAGCAAATGATGATTCTGTAAGCCAGTTGATAAATTATTTATGGCCAAAAAATATACATAAAATGCACAGATACAACACCATAGAGTCACTGTAAATGGTAGAAGTGTATTTCATGCCATGGGAAAATGTTATGTTTTATGGGAAGAAAATGATGGAAATGGATGCAAAAGTCTAAGTATCACACCATCCTCGGATTGCTCATGAGAAGTTATTGCCACCAATCTAGTTCACAAGACACCAAACCAAAGGAATGCTGGAGTCCCCGCTGGCCTTGGAGCATGGCCAGGTCACTGACCACCTGGGTTGGTGACTGGTTGGCCACAGAAGATCTCCTCTAGCTTCAGCAGCTTCCTCAGTTGTCTGCTTTCATCCCAGGGATTTTTCCTCTGATGGCTGTTTGCTGTTTGTGATCTGCAGAGTCGGTAACACTGAGCTGCACTCCAATGGGCCAGATCCTGTGGAAATGAAGTTCCACCCGCACAGGTGTCCTCAGGAAGGAGGAGTAGATTCAGGCTTCTGATGAAACCTGAAAGCAGTCCTGTGCTGGAGACCAAGGTAGGAAGGCCTCAAGTTGGAGGCCAGTCTGGCCAACATGGAAACTCCGGTCTCAAAATTAAGAAATGAAAAAGTTTTTGAAGATCCTAATCCAAATCCCCAAATAAAAAGGCAACTTGGAATCCTAGCGGTGGCTCCACAGGTTGATTCGGGAGGATTTCCAGTTGAAAGCCAGCCTCAGCAAGGGCAAGTTGAGGGACTAAGCAAATCAGTGAGAGCCTGTCTCTAAATAAATTACAAAATAGGGATGCGGATGTTGCTCAGTGCTTAAATGCCCCTGAATTCAATGCCTGGTACCAAAAAAAAAAAAAAAAAAAAAAAAAAACAGACTGGACAGCTTGTTCCTTCTCTGAGGGCAAAAGACAAGGGAGCCAGGTTTCCTTAGCCTTTTTCTCTGGGCAGCGTTTTTTCAGACAGGAAGGGCGGGAGAAGGGCTCCCAGGATGAGTCCTGGTAGCCATGTCTGCAGCTCTACTGCCATCGTGCGGAAACAGTTTCAAGAAGACACCCAGCGCCATTCATGCCTCCTTCCCAGGAGGCCTTGCTGTTGGGCAGATCGGACAGGCAGGGAGTTGGAAGATCCTTGGGCTGCCATCTGGGCCTCCTTGCCTTCTCCTAGGGCCCTGAGGGAGACCTGGGCAGTGGCGCTCCCTCACCATAGAACCTGCAGAGCAGGGGGCCCAGAGCTGACTAGCAGCAGCCAGGAATTGCTCTCACAGGAAGTCGTGGGGCGGGGCCTCGTTGCTCAACTGTGTGGACTTCACCTGAGGGACACTGTGCAAAGGGTAATGCAGGCCCTTGTGGATACTGTTTCCTTGTTCAGGTCCCTTGGAGCAAGATATAGCAGTCCCTTATGTGAAGTCACCATGCTGTTGTGCTCGGATCCCTTAGCCCCCAGGTGGAGCCCAAAGGACATGTCAGTTTTGGGTGGCATAGGGCAGCATCAGAAGTGTGTCCAGTTGTTTGCAGGCAGGCCTAATTGTCTGGAGGCTAGGGTGGTCTGAAGAGAAGGGCAGAGAAGAATTGGAAGAACTTGCAGTGCAGCCGATCTGCTAAAGACAAGCACCAAGAACGCTTATGTTTGCAAAGCTGTTATTTGGTGGAGCCTATGCAAAAATTCACTTAAAATGCATCAAGGATCTCCTCATGAAAACCACACGGACAGCATTTGAAAGACAAATGTAGGCCTACATGTTGCTGTCCATGGATGTGGCAATGTTGTCTTGAAAACACTGCTGAAAGCAGAAATGAGAGAAGAATGACTGGATGGTCAGGAAGTCATCTCCTTTTGCTTCCAAGGGAGTGACCAACAATAGGAAGAGGCAGCTCACAGAATAAGAGAAAAAAGTTGCAATTACCTGGGAACATTCTCACACTCAGAATTTTTGAGGAAACTGGGCTTCGCAACCTCTTTGTATCGCCAGGCTGAGACAAAGCAGAAATGCAGAGTCTGGGTGCAGAACCTGGATAATGATGGACACCAGGAATGTGCACACAGGTACCACCAGAACAGACCTGACCTTGATGTTCTCAACACTGTGAGGAGGGATCCCCGTGCCATTGCACAGTGACATCAAGAAAGTGCATGTTCCTTCTTGTTCCAAGGGGAACAACACAAGGCTGGTACCCTCAAGAGACTGCATTAGCCTTTTTCCCGGTTTTTTTTTTTTTTTCTTTCTTTCTTTTCTTTTTTTTGACAGAGTATAGAGGTGGTTTATTTTACTGAGTTGGAAAGTTTTCGTGTTTATTAATCCGAATGTTATAATGAATGACCCCTTCCCAGATAATTAACACTTTGCATTTTAAACGTTTATTTCTGTAGGACATCTTCTATCATTGGAAGCAGAAGGCACGAGGGAAAAGATAGTCGTCCACCTCCCCTTGAGGGCTCACATCCAGCAGTCGATGGGGCGCCCCAGGATCCACAAGCAGCTTATAGTAGGTGACAGAAACCTGTTCTTCTGGGCTCAGTAATTGCAAGGAAGGGCACTTCTCAGTAGCTGGTGAGTCACAGAAAGCCTCACAGCCCTGCAGGTGAGTAACAGAGGGCGCTCCCAGGTCAGCTGCTCAGTGGGGCCTGGGCCCCCATAGCTGAATACACTGGAAATGCCCTATTATGGGGTTCGGAGAGCAACAGGCTGCCCTTCTAAGAGGGACTTTGGCCCGCAGGGACCTTAGGACCTTCCAGTGCCCGCAGGTAGCCCAGTACACCTGTCCAAGGGCTGTGGCCTGTCCTGCCAGTGCCTAGCCATTGGGCACTGTGTGGGGGGTGGGGGGGGCGCGGGGGTTAGGGGTGTAGGTTGCTCATCTCTTGCAGGAAGATGCTGCTGCCTGGTATTGCAGCAGTCAATGGGCTGCCTAGTCAACCTCAGCCCCTGATGAGTGCAGACCCAGTAGCCAGGCACAACTGTCATTGCATGACCAGCTCTCCTGGAGCTAGCTGCTGCCTGCACACAAAATTTCCTCTTCCCAGCAGGTGGCGGCAGCAACAACACAGGAAACAGACGCCCTGGCTCAGGTTCCTGTTCTCCCAAAAGAGCTGCCCCTGGCCATGGCTTCTGGGAATTCAGCGCCTCCTCGCGCTGGGCACCTAGGCCCAGGGAGACCTCCCTGGATTGCCCCTTAGTGGGTCCCTCCGCTCCAGTCCAAGCAGCTCCTATGGAGGCCCCGCCCCACGACTTCCTCTGACACCAGCTCCTGCCCACTGCTAGTCCCCTCAGGTCCCTGGCTCTCCGGGTTCTTTGCTGAGAGCGCGCCAGAGCCCAGGTCTCCCTCAGGACCCTGGGAGAAGGCCAGGAGGCCCAGAGGGCAGCCCAAGCCGCTTGGAACTCGCTCCTTGAAACACAGATCCTCCCCCACAGCGAGGCCTCCTGGGAAGGAGGCTTGAGTGGCGCAGGGCGTCTTGAAACTGGTTCCGCACGGTGGCGGTAGAGCTCCAGCTATGGCCAGCAGCCCTGGGCCTGAGCGCGCCTCTCCCGCCCTGGCTGTCTGAAAAAACGCCACCCAGACAAAGGCACCAGGCAACATGGCCGCCCTGTCCTTTGCCCAGTTCTGAGGAAGCAGCTCCCGATGCTGCTTTTGCTTTTTCAGTATTTGTGGCGTTTGGTTCACGATGTTTGCCTCTGTCGTGATTCTGCCCGAGACAGGCTTTGCCGTGTTGCCCAGGACCAGCTGGAAATCGTGGTGCCAGTGCAGCAGCTTCCAGCTCCTCTCTCCTGTTGTTTTCCATCTGAACTCTGACCAAGGCCTGAGTGCCATCCTCCCCTGGGCCTCCCCTCTCTCTGGTGGAACGTTCAGGGAGGCCCTGCTCATTCAGTCTGTTCTGAGTTGAACTGCACCCAGTCTTCCTCCCTCTGTAGTTTGTGAGTGCTCAGACCAGGTGAGAGAAATGACACGGTTCGGTTTGTTTTTTACTCTTTTTAGGACACAAGAAGTTGGGAATCCAACGTGTCAATATGTATGTCTTCCAGAGAGCCAATGTGCACATGGTGATGTGTCTTAGTCTAGGTTCTGTTGCCATAACAAAAATACCTGAAGCTGAGTATTTTGTAAGAAATGGACATTTCCTGTCCTCATGGTTGTGGAGATGGGAAATCTAAGAATAGGACCTCAGTGTCTGCTGAGCCGTTGGTGGGGGTCTTCTTGCTTAATCATAATGTGGAAGAGGCCAGCACAGAGAGACAGAGGAAGCTTCTTGGAGACACCTGGCTTTTATAGCAGAGTCACTCCCCACAAAACCTATGAATCCATGAGTGGACTGATCAGTGCCTGTGCATGAGGGCAGAGTTCTCATGAGCCAGTGACCTCCCAGAAATACTTCAGTTCCCGTTCACACATAATTTTGGGATTAACTTTCCGACAATGGGTTTCCAGGGCACAACCATTGAAACCATACTATGAAGTGACTTTTAAAGTTGAATGAAAATCGCTAGCATCATCTACTTTTCTAAAGTGGCCTTAAAAAACGAGTCTGTCACAAGGAGAGAGAGAGGAAGCTTCTTCGAGACACCTGACTGGTGTCCTCCAGCCTGGATGTTGGTTTATTTTCAAGTTTCCCCTTTAGATTTCAGGCAGAGAATGTTGAGGTAGGGGACTTGGTGTTGTGGTATTCATGTATTTTATGTCCTCTAGGCTGTGGTGAATGCAGACATGGGAAGAAGTGGTCACGTGGAAAGTGAGTTCAAAAAGAGAGAGAGAACATGAAAATGGGGTGAGTTGGTTTTTTTTTTTTTTAATGTGGTCCTTGGATATAACCCAGGACTCTGTTCATTAGATCTCACGTTGATATGCAATGGAACCCAAAAGAAATTTTTTACCAGGGGAGCAAGTTTTCTGAGATTGAGCAAAATGCAAGGCAGCCGTAGTTTCTGGAGTGTTTCTCCTCTGGCCATTTTATTTATTTATTTCTTCCAATTGGAGGGGCACAAGTGGAGCACCTAGAGGGAAGTCTGGTTAGGGAAACATTTTCATTGGGTCCCATCCCATGTGCATTTAATGCATGACAGCCCTAGCAGTAAGGCAGGGAGGGCCAGTACCAGGTCCGATGGTCCAAGATACAAGCTGGGCTTAGCAACCTCCTTGTGGAGGGCCACGCAGGACCAAAGCACAAAGGTATAGTCTTGTAGGAAGTGATCCGTGAGGGACACTAGGATTGATTACACAGGTGCCACCTGAGCTGGCCTATCGGGCTTTTCTCACTGAGCTGAGAGGACAGTGACATCACAAACGGGCATTGTGTGTCTTGCTCCAAGGTGAGGGACAAGAGGCTAGTGCCCCCAGAAACCTGCAGTAGCCTGTGAGAGGGTTTGTCTGTTCCAGTCCACACAGCTTCCTACCAAGGCCCTGCCTTGTGACTTCCTATGACACCATCTCCTGGCTGCTGCTGCTTCCCTGGGGGCCCCTGGTCCTGTGGGTTCTTTGGGAAGAGACAGCCATTGATCAGGTTTCTCTTAGGGCCCTGGGAGAATGTTTGGAAATCCAGATTGCACCCAAGCCTCTTGTAACTCCCTACACAATTCAGTTTCTCCGAGCTAACACCAAGAGCAGATAAATAATAATGTCAATTGTTTTTGACTCTATTTCTAACATATGTGCTAACTTTGAAAAAACACATCAGTATGTATGTGTCTTACAAAGTTGATAGGCATATCTGTCATGCATCTTAGGCATATGTGTATGTATGTAAATATATATATATATATATATATTTTTTTTTTTTTCTTTTTTCGATAAGACTATTGGGTGGTGACTGTTTTAAAAAGAATCAAATTTCACTAAGTGCCCTGGCACTTTCCTGTGTTCCTGACAGCCTGGGTGGCTGAGGCAGGATTGGCGAACTTGTTACAACTTAGCAATACCCTTAGATAACTTAGAGAGATCCTGTACCGAAATAAAAAATAATAATCATTTTAAGAAAAGGATTAGACGTTTCTCTCCATGGTTAAGCACCCCTGTGATCAATGCCCGATACCAAAGCCAAAAAAAAAAAAAAAAAAAAAAAAAAGAAAAGAAAAGAAAAAGTTTATTTGGCTCAAGTTTCTGAAGACAGGAGTGTCCACGAACATGGTCTGGGGATCTCCTTGACCATTGGTGAGGGTCTTTGGGCTAAATCCTAACATAGAAGAGGCCATCATGAGGCCAGACAGAGCTGTCCCGCTGGAGAGAATTGACTTTGGTAGCAAAGTCACTCTCCTAAGGAAACTTATGAATCCTTGAATGGACTGATCTGTGTATGAAGGGTGAGTCCGGTAGAGCCAGTCACCTCCCAAAGTGCCTCCAAATATGATCAACCTGTAATTCAGGGATTCAAGTTTCAACACAGGAATTCCAGGGGACACACACCGCACTATTAGAGATAGGTCATGCTGTCATTTCAGTGTTTGTTCGATGCTGTGATTTCCATCAAAACCACTAAGACGCCGGGTGTGGTGGTCCTCTCCTGTAATTCCAGCAGCTATGGATTTCACTTTTCTTCTTTAGGCTTCAAAGGTGGTAAAAAGGGTGTAGTACAGATAACAGTAATGAGAGTTTATGCGCACCAACTCCTTAAAGCTGTGGTAAACAGCCACCAGCTCCAAACAATAATATAAGCATTAATTCAATTTTATTGCAGATTTTTCTTTCGAGTGAGACTAATTCTACACAAATGTAAGTGTAGATCGATCATCAGGCATAGAAAGAATCCAAAAAAGTACTGGGTCCCCTGGAAGATTGCCTGAAGGTGCTTTTCTTTCTCTTGGCACATGCTTATGTTTTGACTCCTTGTCAAATATCATTCTTTTTTTAAATTTTAATTTTTTTAGTTGTTGATAGAACTTTATTTGTATTTATGTATAAGTGGTACAGAGAGTCTAAACGAGTGCCTCACATGTGCTAGACAAGCGCTTTACCGCGGAGCCACCACCCGGGTCCCCTCAAATATCATTCTTCAGTTCACTAAAGAGAAGGGCTTTGTGGCCCACACTTATACTCCCAGCAACATGAGAGGCTAAGACAGGAGTATGGCAAGCTAGAGGCCAGAGTGAGGCCCTAAGCAAGATAGCAAGTCCCTGTGTAAGAATAAAAAGTAATCTTTGAGGTGGAGCAGTGGTACTGGGTATGTTGCTTAGTGGTTCAGCATCCCTGTGTTCAATCATCCCTAAAAAAAATAAATAAATAAAAACCAAGAAATATAAAGAACCGAGGGTAAATTACTGTTGAAGGGGGAAAAAAAAAAAAAAACAGCAAATGATGATTCTGTAAGCCAGTTGATAAATTATTTATGGCCAAAAAATATACATAAAATGCACAGATACAACACCATAGAGTCACTGTAAATGGTAGAAGTGTATTTCATGCCATGGGAAAATGTTATGTTTTATGGGAAGAAAATGATGGAAATGGATGCAAAAGTCTAAGTATCACACCATCCTCGGATTGCTCATGAGAAGTTATTGCCACCAATCTAGTTCACAAGACACCAAACCAAAGGAATGCTGGAGTCCCCGCTGGCCTTGGAGCATGGCCAGGTCACTGACCACCTGGGTTGGTGACTGGTTGGCCACAGAAGATCTCCTCTAGCTTCAGCAGCTTCCTCAGTTGTCTGCTTTCATCCCAGGGATTTTTCCTCTGATGGCTGTTTGCTGTTTGTGATCTGCAGAGTCGGTAACACTGAGCTGCACTCCAATGGGCCAGATCCTGTGGAAATGAAGTTCCACCCGCACAGGTGTCCTCAGGAAGGAGGAGTAGATTCAGGCTTCTGATGAAACCTGAAAGCAGTCCTGTGCTGGAGACCAAGGTAGGAAGGCCTCAAGTTGGAGGCCAGTCTGGCCAACATGGAAACTCCGGTCTCAAAATTAAGAAATGAAAAAGTTTTTGAAGATCCTAATCCAAATCCCCAAATAAAAAGGCAACTTGGAATCCTAGCGGTGGCTCCACAGGTTGATTCGGGAGGATTTCCAGTTGAAAGCCAGCCTCAGCAAGGGCAAGTTGAGGGACTAAGCAAATCAGTGAGAGCCTGTCTCTAAATAAATTACAAAATAGGGATGCGGATGTTGCTCAGTGCTTAAATGCCCCTGAATTCAATGCCTGGTACCAAAAAAAAAAAAAAAAAAAAAAAAAACAGACTGGACAGCTTGTTCCTTCTCTGAGGGCAAAAGACAAGGGAGCCAGGTTTCCTTAGCCTTTTTCTCTGGGCAGCGTTTTTTCAGACAGGAAGGGCGGGAGAAGGGCTCCCAGGATGAGTCCTGGTAGCCATGTCTGCAGCTCTACTGCCATCGTGCGGAAACAGTTTCAAGAAGACACCCAGCGCCATTCATGCCTCCTTCCCAGGAGGCCTTGCTGTTGGGCAGATCGGACAGGCAGGGAGTTGGAAGATCCTTGGGCTGCCATCTGGGCCTCCTTGCCTTCTCCTAGGGCCCTGAGGGAGACCTGGGCAGTGGCGCTCCCTCACCATAGAACCTGCAGAGCAGGGGGCCCAGAGCTGACTAGCAGCAGCCAGGAATTGCTCTCACAGGAAGTCGTGGGGCGGGGCCTCGTTGCTCAACTGTGTGGACTTCACCTGAGGGACACTGTGCAAAGGGTAATGCAGGCCCTTGTGGATACTGTTTCCTTGTTCAGGTCCCTTGGAGCAAGATATAGCAGTCCCTTATGTGAAGTCACCATGCTGTTGTGCTCGGATCCCTTAGCCCCCAGGTGGAGCCCAAAGGACATGTCAGTTTTGGGTGGCATAGGGCAGCATCAGAAGTGTGTCCAGTTGTTTGCAGGCAGGCCTAATTGTCTGGAGGCTAGGGTGGTCTGAAGAGAAGGGCAGAGAAGAATTGGAAGAACTTGCAGTGCAGCCGATCTGCTAAAGACAAGCACCAAGAACGCTTATGTTTGCAAAGCTGTTATTTGGTGGAGCCTATGCAAAAATTCACTTAAAATGCATCAAGGATCTCCTCATGAAAACCACACGGACAGCATTTGAAAGACAAATGTAGGCCTACATGTTGCTGTCCATGGATGTGGCAATGTTGTCTTGAAAACACTGCTGAAAGCAGAAATGAGAGAAGAATGACTGGATGGTCAGGAAGTCATCTCCTTTTGCTTCCAAGGGAGTGACCAACAATAGGAAGAGGCAGCTCACAGAATAAGAGAAAAAAGTTGCAATTACCTGGGAACATTCTCACACTCAGAATTTTTGAGGAAACTGGGCTTCGCAACCTCTTTGTATCGCCAGGCTGAGACAAAGCAGAAATGCAGAGTCTGGGTGCAGAACCTGGATAATGATGGACACCAGGAATGTGCACACAGGTACCACCAGAACAGACCTGACCTTGATGTTCTCAACACTGTGAGGAGGGATCCCCGTGCCATTGCACAGTGACATCAAGAAAGTGCATGTTCCTTCTTGTTCCAAGGGGAACAACACAAGGCTGGTACCCTCAAGAGACTGCATTAGCCTTTTTCCCGGTTTTTTTTTTTTTTTCTTTCTTTCTTTTCTTTTTTTTGACAGAGTATAGAGGTGGTTTATTTTACTGAGTTGGAAAGTTTTCGTGTTTATTAATCCGAATGTTATAATGAATGACCCCTTCCCAGATAATTAACACTTTGCATTTTAAACGTTTATTTCTGTAGGACATCTTCTATCATTGGAAGCAGAAGGCACGAGGGAAAAGATAGTCGTCCACCTCCCCTTGAGGGCTCACATCCAGCAGTCGATGGGGCGCCCCAGGATCCACAAGCAGCTTATAGTAGGTGACAGAAACCTGTTCTTCTGGGCTCAGTAATTGCAAGGAAGGGCACTTCTCAGTAGCTGGTGAGTCACAGAAAGCCTCACAGCCCTGCAGGTGAGTAACAGAGGGCGCTCCCAGGTCAGCTGCTCAGTGGGGCCTGGGCCCCCATAGCTGAATACACTGGAAATGCCCTATTATGGGGTTCGGAGAGCAACAGGCTGCCCTTCTAAGAGGGACTTTGGCCCGCAGGGACCTTAGGACCTTCCAGTGCCCGCAGGTAGCCCAGTACACCTGTCCAAGGGCTGTGGCCTGTCCTGCCAGTGCCTAGCCATTGGGCACTGTGTGGGGGGTGGGGGGGGCGCGGGGGTTAGGGGTGTAGGTTGCTCATCTCTTGCAGGAAGATGCTGCTGCCTGGTATTGCAGCAGTCAATGGGCTGCCTAGTCAACCTCAGCCCCTGATGAGTGCAGACCCAGTAGCCAGGCACAACTGTCATTGCATGACCAGCTCTCCTGGAGCTAGCTGCTGCCTGCACACAAAATTTCCTCTTCCCAGCAGGTGGCGGCAGCAACAACACAGGAAACAGACGCCCTGGCTCAGGTTCCTGTTCTCCCAAAAGAGCTGCCCCTGGCCATGGCTTCTGGGAATTCAGCGCCTCCTCGCGCTGGGCACCTAGGCCCAGGGAGACCTCCCTGGATTGCCCCTTAGTGGGTCCCTCCGCTCCAGTCCAAGCAGCTCCTATGGAGGCCCCGCCCCACGACTTCCTCTGACACCAGCTCCTGCCCACTGCTAGTCCCCTCAGGTCCCTGGCTCTCCGGGTTCTTTGCTGAGAGCGCGCCAGAGCCCAGGTCTCCCTCAGGACCCTGGGAGAAGGCCAGGAGGCCCAGAGGGCAGCCCAAGCCGCTTGGAACTCGCTCCTTGAAACACAGATCCTCCCCCACAGCGAGGCCTCCTGGGAAGGAGGCTTGAGTGGCGCAGGGCGTCTTGAAACTGGTTCCGCACGGTGGCGGTAGAGCTCCAGCTATGGCCAGCAGCCCTGGGCCTGAGCGCGCCTCTCCCGCCCTGGCTGTCTGAAAAAACGCCACCCAGACAAAGGCACCAGGCAACATGGCCGCCCTGTCCTTTGCCCAGTTCTGAGGAAGCAGCTCCCGATGCTGCTTTTGCTTTTTCAGTATTTGTGGCGTTTGGTTCACGATGTTTGCCTCTGTCGTGATTCTGCCCGAGACAGGCTTTGCCGTGTTGCCCAGGACCAGCTGGAAATCGTGGTGCCAGTGCAGCAGCTTCCAGCTCCTCTCTCCTGTTGTTTTCCATCTGAACTCTGACCAAGGCCTGAGTGCCATCCTCCCCTGGGCCTCCCCTCTCTCTGGTGGAACGTTCAGGGAGGCCCTGCTCATTCAGTCTGTTCTGAGTTGAACTGCACCCAGTCTTCCTCCCTCTGTAGTTTGTGAGTGCTCAGACCAGGTGAGAGAAATGACACGGTTCGGTTTGTTTTTTACTCTTTTTAGGACACAAGAAGTTGGGAATCCAACGTGTCAATATGTATGTCTTCCAGAGAGCCAATGTGCACATGGTGATGTGTCTTAGTCTAGGTTCTGTTGCCATAACAAAAATACCTGAAGCTGAGTATTTTGTAAGAAATGGACATTTCCTGTCCTCATGGTTGTGGAGATGGGAAATCTAAGAATAGGACCTCAGTGTCTGCTGAGCCGTTGGTGGGGGTCTTCTTGCTTAATCATAATGTGGAAGAGGCCAGCACAGAGAGACAGAGGAAGCTTCTTGGAGACACCTGGCTTTTATAGCAGAGTCACTCCCCACAAAACCTATGAATCCATGAGTGGACTGATCAGTGCCTGTGCATGAGGGCAGAGTTCTCATGAGCCAGTGACCTCCCAGAAATACTTCAGTTCCCGTTCACACATAATTTTGGGATTAACTTTCCGACAATGGGTTTCCAGGGCACAACCATTGAAACCATACTATGAAGTGACTTTTAAAGTTGAATGAAAATCGCTAGCATCATCTACTTTTCTAAAGTGGCCTTAAAAAACGAGTCTGTCACAAGGAGAGAGAGAGGAAGCTTCTTCGAGACACCTGACTGGTGTCCTCCAGCCTGGATGTTGGTTTATTTTCAAGTTTCCCCTTTAGATTTCAGGCAGAGAATGTTGAGGTAGGGGACTTGGTGTTGTGGTATTCATGTATTTTATGTCCTCTAGGCTGTGGTGAATGCAGACATGGGAAGAAGTGGTCACGTGGAAAGTGAGTTCAAAAAGAGAGAGAGAACATGAAAATGGGGTGAGTTGGTTTTTTTTTTTTTTAATGTGGTCCTTGGATATAACCCAGGACTCTGTTCATTAGATCTCACGTTGATATGCAATGGAACCCAAAAGAAATTTTTTACCAGGGGAGCAAGTTTTCTGAGATTGAGCAAAATGCAAGGCAGCCGTAGTTTCTGGAGTGTTTCTCCTCTGGCCATTTTATTTATTTATTTCTTCCAATTGGAGGGGCACAAGTGGAGCACCTAGAGGGAAGTCTGGTTAGGGAAACATTTTCATTGGGTCCCATCCCATGTGCATTTAATGCATGACAGCCCTAGCAGTAAGGCAGGGAGGGCCAGTACCAGGTCCGATGGTCCAAGATACAAGCTGGGCTTAGCAACCTCCTTGTGGAGGGCCACGCAGGACCAAAGCACAAAGGTATAGTCTTGTAGGAAGTGATCCGTGAGGGACACTAGGATTGATTACACAGGTGCCACCTGAGCTGGCCTATCGGGCTTTTCTCACTGAGCTGAGAGGACAGTGACATCACAAACGGGCATTGTGTGTCTTGCTCCAAGGTGAGGGACAAGAGGCTAGTGCCCCCAGAAACCTGCAGTAGCCTGTGAGAGGGTTTGTCTGTTCCAGTCCACACAGCTTCCTACCAAGGCCCTGCCTTGTGACTTCCTATGACACCATCTCCTGGCTGCTGCTGCTTCCCTGGGGGCCCCTGGTCCTGTGGGTTCTTTGGGAAGAGACAGCCATTGATCAGGTTTCTCTTAGGGCCCTGGGAGAATGTTTGGAAATCCAGATTGCACCCAAGCCTCTTGTAACTCCCTACACAATTCAGTTTCTCCGAGCTAACACCAAGAGCAGATAAATAATAATGTCAATTGTTTTTGACTCTATTTCTAACATATGTGCTAACTTTGAAAAAACACATCAGTATGTATGTGTCTTACAAAGTTGATAGGCATATCTGTCATGCATCTTAGGCATATGTGTATGTATGTAAATATATATATATATATATATATTTTTTTTTTTTTCTTTTTTCGATAAGACTATTGGGTGGTGACTGTTTTAAAAAGAATCAAATTTCACTAAGTGCCCTGGCACTTTCCTGTGTTCCTGACAGCCTGGGTGGCTGAGGCAGGATTGGCGAACTTGTTACAACTTAGCAATACCCTTAGATAACTTAGAGAGATCCTGTACCGAAATAAAAAATAATAATCATTTTAAGAAAAGGATTAGACGTTTCTCTCCATGGTTAAGCACCCCTGTGATCAATGCCCGATACCAAAGCCAAAAAAAAAAAAAAAAAAAAAAAAAGAAAAGAAAAGAAAAAGTTTATTTGGCTCAAGTTTCTGAAGACAGGAGTGTCCACGAACATGGTCTGGGGATCTCCTTGACCATTGGTGAGGGTCTTTGGGCTAAATCCTAACATAGAAGAGGCCATCATGAGGCCAGACAGAGCTGTCCCGCTGGAGAGAATTGACTTTGGTAGCAAAGTCACTCTCCTAAGGAAACTTATGAATCCTTGAATGGACTGATCTGTGTATGAAGGGTGAGTCCGGTAGAGCCAGTCACCTCCCAAAGTGCCTCCAAATATGATCAACCTGTAATTCAGGGATTCAAGTTTCAACACAGGAATTCCAGGGGACACACACCGCACTATTAGAGATAGGTCATGCTGTCATTTCAGTGTTTGTTCGATGCTGTGATTTCCATCAAAACCACTAAGACGCCGGGTGTGGTGGTCCTCTCCTGTAATTCCAGCAGCTATGGATTTCACTTTTCTTCTTTAGGCTTCAAAGGTGGTAAAAAGGGTGTAGTACAGATAACAGTAATGAGAGTTTATGCGCACCAACTCCTTAAAGCTGTGGTAAACAGCCACCAGCTCCAAACAATAATATAAGCATTAATTCAATTTTATTGCAGATTTTTCTTTCGAGTGAGACTAATTCTACACAAATGTAAGTGTAGATCGATCATCAGGCATAGAAAGAATCCAAAAAAGTACTGGGTCCCCTGGAAGATTGCCTGAAGGTGCTTTTCTTTCTCTTGGCACATGCTTATGTTTTGACTCCTTGTCAAATATCATTCTTTTTTTAAATTTTAATTTTTTTAGTTGTTGATAGAACTTTATTTGTATTTATGTATAAGTGGTACAGAGAGTCTAAACGAGTGCCTCACATGTGCTAGACAAGCGCTTTACCGCGGAGCCACCACCCGGGTCCCCTCAAATATCATTCTTCAGTTCACTAAAGAGAAGGGCTTTGTGGCCCACACTTATACTCCCAGCAACATGAGAGGCTAAGACAGGAGTATGGCAAGCTAGAGGCCAGAGTGAGGCCCTAAGCAAGATAGCAAGTCCCTGTGTAAGAATAAAAAGTAATCTTTGAGGTGGAGCAGTGGTACTGGGTATGTTGCTTAGTGGTTCAGCATCCCTGTGTTCAATCATCCCTAAAAAAAATAAATAAATAAAAACCAAGAAATATAAAGAACCGAGGGTAAATTACTGTTGAAGGGGGAAAAAAAAAAAAAAACAGCAAATGATGATTCTGTAAGCCAGTTGATAAATTATTTATGGCCAAAAAATATACATAAAATGCACAGATACAACACCATAGAGTCACTGTAAATGGTAGAAGTGTATTTCATGCCATGGGAAAATGTTATGTTTTATGGGAAGAAAATGATGGAAATGGATGCAAAAGTCTAAGTATCACACCATCCTCGGATTGCTCATGAGAAGTTATTGCCACCAATCTAGTTCACAAGACACCAAACCAAAGGAATGCTGGAGTCCCCGCTGGCCTTGGAGCATGGCCAGGTCACTGACCACCTGGGTTGGTGACTGGTTGGCCACAGAAGATCTCCTCTAGCTTCAGCAGCTTCCTCAGTTGTCTGCTTTCATCCCAGGGATTTTTCCTCTGATGGCTGTTTGCTGTTTGTGATCTGCAGAGTCGGTAACACTGAGCTGCACTCCAATGGGCCAGATCCTGTGGAAATGAAGTTCCACCCGCACAGGTGTCCTCAGGAAGGAGGAGTAGATTCAGGCTTCTGATGAAACCTGAAAGCAGTCCTGTGCTGGAGACCAAGGTAGGAAGGCCTCAAGTTGGAGGCCAGTCTGGCCAACATGGAAACTCCGGTCTCAAAATTAAGAAATGAAAAAGTTTTTGAAGATCCTAATCCAAATCCCCAAATAAAAAGGCAACTTGGAATCCTAGCGGTGGCTCCACAGGTTGATTCGGGAGGATTTCCAGTTGAAAGCCAGCCTCAGCAAGGGCAAGTTGAGGGACTAAGCAAATCAGTGAGAGCCTGTCTCTAAATAAATTACAAAATAGGGATGCGGATGTTGCTCAGTGCTTAAATGCCCCTGAATTCAATGCCTGGTACCAAAAAAAAAAAAAAAAAAAAAAAAAAAACAGACTGGACAGCTTGTTCCTTCTCTGAGGGCAAAAGACAAGGGAGCCAGGTTTCCTTAGCCTTTTTCTCTGGGCAGCGTTTTTTCAGACAGGAAGGGCGGGAGAAGGGCTCCCAGGATGAGTCCTGGTAGCCATGTCTGCAGCTCTACTGCCATCGTGCGGAAACAGTTTCAAGAAGACACCCAGCGCCATTCATGCCTCCTTCCCAGGAGGCCTTGCTGTTGGGCAGATCGGACAGGCAGGGAGTTGGAAGATCCTTGGGCTGCCATCTGGGCCTCCTTGCCTTCTCCTAGGGCCCTGAGGGAGACCTGGGCAGTGGCGCTCCCTCACCATAGAACCTGCAGAGCAGGGGGCCCAGAGCTGACTAGCAGCAGCCAGGAATTGCTCTCACAGGAAGTCGTGGGGCGGGGCCTCGTTGCTCAACTGTGTGGACTTCACCTGAGGGACACTGTGCAAAGGGTAATGCAGGCCCTTGTGGATACTGTTTCCTTGTTCAGGTCCCTTGGAGCAAGATATAGCAGTCCCTTATGTGAAGTCACCATGCTGTTGTGCTCGGATCCCTTAGCCCCCAGGTGGAGCCCAAAGGACATGTCAGTTTTGGGTGGCATAGGGCAGCATCAGAAGTGTGTCCAGTTGTTTGCAGGCAGGCCTAATTGTCTGGAGGCTAGGGTGGTCTGAAGAGAAGGGCAGAGAAGAATTGGAAGAACTTGCAGTGCAGCCGATCTGCTAAAGACAAGCACCAAGAACGCTTATGTTTGCAAAGCTGTTATTTGGTGGAGCCTATGCAAAAATTCACTTAAAATGCATCAAGGATCTCCTCATGAAAACCACACGGACAGCATTTGAAAGACAAATGTAGGCCTACATGTTGCTGTCCATGGATGTGGCAATGTTGTCTTGAAAACACTGCTGAAAGCAGAAATGAGAGAAGAATGACTGGATGGTCAGGAAGTCATCTCCTTTTGCTTCCAAGGGAGTGACCAACAATAGGAAGAGGCAGCTCACAGAATAAGAGAAAAAAGTTGCAATTACCTGGGAACATTCTCACACTCAGAATTTTTGAGGAAACTGGGCTTCGCAACCTCTTTGTATCGCCAGGCTGAGACAAAGCAGAAATGCAGAGTCTGGGTGCAGAACCTGGATAATGATGGACACCAGGAATGTGCACACAGGTACCACCAGAACAGACCTGACCTTGATGTTCTCAACACTGTGAGGAGGGATCCCCGTGCCATTGCACAGTGACATCAAGAAAGTGCATGTTCCTTCTTGTTCCAAGGGGAACAACACAAGGCTGGTACCCTCAAGAGACTGCATTAGCCTTTTTCCCGGTTTTTTTTTTTTTTTCTTTCTTTCTTTTCTTTTTTTTGACAGAGTATAGAGGTGGTTTATTTTACTGAGTTGGAAAGTTTTCGTGTTTATTAATCCGAATGTTATAATGAATGACCCCTTCCCAGATAATTAACACTTTGCATTTTAAACGTTTATTTCTGTAGGACATCTTCTATCATTGGAAGCAGAAGGCACGAGGGAAAAGATAGTCGTCCACCTCCCCTTGAGGGCTCACATCCAGCAGTCGATGGGGCGCCCCAGGATCCACAAGCAGCTTATAGTAGGTGACAGAAACCTGTTCTTCTGGGCTCAGTAATTGCAAGGAAGGGCACTTCTCAGTAGCTGGTGAGTCACAGAAAGCCTCACAGCCCTGCAGGTGAGTAACAGAGGGCGCTCCCAGGTCAGCTGCTCAGTGGGGCCTGGGCCCCCATAGCTGAATACACTGGAAATGCCCTATTATGGGGTTCGGAGAGCAACAGGCTGCCCTTCTAAGAGGGACTTTGGCCCGCAGGGACCTTAGGACCTTCCAGTGCCCGCAGGTAGCCCAGTACACCTGTCCAAGGGCTGTGGCCTGTCCTGCCAGTGCCTAGCCATTGGGCACTGTGTGGGGGGTGGGGGGGGCGCGGGGGTTAGGGGTGTAGGTTGCTCATCTCTTGCAGGAAGATGCTGCTGCCTGGTATTGCAGCAGTCAATGGGCTGCCTAGTCAACCTCAGCCCCTGATGAGTGCAGACCCAGTAGCCAGGCACAACTGTCATTGCATGACCAGCTCTCCTGGAGCTAGCTGCTGCCTGCACACAAAATTTCCTCTTCCCAGCAGGTGGCGGCAGCAACAACACAGGAAACAGACGCCCTGGCTCAGGTTCCTGTTCTCCCAAAAGAGCTGCCCCTGGCCATGGCTTCTGGGAATTCAGCGCCTCCTCGCGCTGGGCACCTAGGCCCAGGGAGACCTCCCTGGATTGCCCCTTAGTGGGTCCCTCCGCTCCAGTCCAAGCAGCTCCTATGGAGGCCCCGCCCCACGACTTCCTCTGACACCAGCTCCTGCCCACTGCTAGTCCCCTGCAAAGAACCCGGAGAGCCAGGGACCTGAGGGGACTAGCAGTGGGCAGGAGCTGGTGTCAGAGGAAGTCGTGGGGCGGGGCCTCCATAGGAGCTGCTTGGACTGGAGCGGAGGGACCCACTAAGGGGCAATCCAGGGAGGTCTCCCTGGGCCTAGGTGCCCAGCGCGAGGAGGCGCTGAATTCCCAGAAGCCATGGCCAGGGGCAGCTCTTTTGGGAGAACAGGAACCTGAGCCAGGGCGTCTGTTTCCTGTGTTGTTGCTGCCGCCACCTGCTGGGAAGAGGAAATTTTGTGTGCAGGCAGCAGCTAGCTCCAGGAGAGCTGGTCATGCAATGACAGTTGTGCCTGGCTACTGGGTCTGCACTCATCAGGGGCTGAGGTTGACTAGGCAGCCCATTGACTGCTGCAATACCAGGCAGCAGCATCTTCCTGCAAGAGATGAGCAACCTACACCCCTAACCCCCGCGCCCCCCCCACCCCCCACACAGTGCCCAATGGCTAGGCACTGGCAGGACAGGCCACAGCCCTTGGACAGGTGTACTGGGCTACCTGCGGGCACTGGAAGGTCCTAAGGTCCCTGCGGGCCAAAGTCCCTCTTAGAAGGGCAGCCTGTTGCTCTCCGAACCCCATAATAGGGCATTTCCAGTGTATTCAGCTATGGGGGCCCAGGCCCCACTGAGCAGCTGACCTGGGAGCGCCCTCTGTTACTCACCTGCAGGGCTGTGAGGCTTTCTGTGACTCACCAGCTACTGAGAAGTGCCCTTCCTTGCAATTACTGAGCCCAGAAGAACAGGTTTCTGTCACCTACTATAAGCTGCTTGTGGATCCTGGGGCGCCCCATCGACTGCTGGATGTGAGCCCTCAAGGGGAGGTGGACGACTATCTTTTCCCTCGTGCCTTCTGCTTCCAATGATAGAAGATGTCCTACAGAAATAAACGTTTAAAATGCAAAGTGTTAATTATCTGGGAAGGGGTCATTCATTATAACATTCGGATTAATAAACACGAAAACTTTCCAACTCAGTAAAATAAACCACCTCTATACTCTGTCAAAAAAAAGAAAAGAAAGAAAGAAAAAAAAAAAAAAACCGGGAAAAAGGCTAATGCAGTCTCTTGAGGGTACCAGCCTTGTGTTGTTCCCCTTGGAACAAGAAGGAACATGCACTTTCTTGATGTCACTGTGCAATGGCACGGGGATCCCTCCTCACAGTGTTGAGAACATCAAGGTCAGGTCTGTTCTGGTGGTACCTGTGTGCACATTCCTGGTGTCCATCATTATCCAGGTTCTGCACCCAGACTCTGCATTTCTGCTTTGTCTCAGCCTGGCGATACAAAGAGGTTGCGAAGCCCAGTTTCCTCAAAAATTCTGAGTGTGAGAATGTTCCCAGGTAATTGCAACTTTTTTCTCTTATTCTGTGAGCTGCCTCTTCCTATTGTTGGTCACTCCCTTGGAAGCAAAAGGAGATGACTTCCTGACCATCCAGTCATTCTTCTCTCATTTCTGCTTTCAGCAGTGTTTTCAAGACAACATTGCCACATCCATGGACAGCAACATGTAGGCCTACATTTGTCTTTCAAATGCTGTCCGTGTGGTTTTCATGAGGAGATCCTTGATGCATTTTAAGTGAATTTTTGCATAGGCTCCACCAAATAACAGCTTTGCAAACATAAGCGTTCTTGGTGCTTGTCTTTAGCAGATCGGCTGCACTGCAAGTTCTTCCAATTCTTCTCTGCCCTTCTCTTCAGACCACCCTAGCCTCCAGACAATTAGGCCTGCCTGCAAACAACTGGACACACTTCTGATGCTGCCCTATGCCACCCAAAACTGACATGTCCTTTGGGCTCCACCTGGGGGCTAAGGGATCCGAGCACAACAGCATGGTGACTTCACATAAGGGACTGCTATATCTTGCTCCAAGGGACCTGAACAAGGAAACAGTATCCACAAGGGCCTGCATTACCCTTTGCACAGTGTCCCTCAGGTGAAGTCCACACAGTTGAGCAACGAGGCCCCGCCCCACGACTTCCTGTGAGAGCAATTCCTGGCTGCTGCTAGTCAGCTCTGGGCCCCCTGCTCTGCAGGTTCTATGGTGAGGGAGCGCCACTGCCCAGGTCTCCCTCAGGGCCCTAGGAGAAGGCAAGGAGGCCCAGATGGCAGCCCAAGGATCTTCCAACTCCCTGCCTGTCCGATCTGCCCAACAGCAAGGCCTCCTGGGAAGGAGGCATGAATGGCGCTGGGTGTCTTCTTGAAACTGTTTCCGCACGATGGCAGTAGAGCTGCAGACATGGCTACCAGGACTCATCCTGGGAGCCCTTCTCCCGCCCTTCCTGTCTGAAAAAACGCTGCCCAGAGAAAAAGGCTAAGGAAACCTGGCTCCCTTGTCTTTTGCCCTCAGAGAAGGAACAAGCTGTCCAGTCTGTTTTTTTTTTTTTTTTTTTTTTTTTTTTGGTACCAGGCATTGAATTCAGGGGCATTTAAGCACTGAGCAACATCCGCATCCCTATTTTGTAATTTATTTAGAGACAGGCTCTCACTGATTTGCTTAGTCCCTCAACTTGCCCTTGCTGAGGCTGGCTTTCAACTGGAAATCCTCCCGAATCAACCTGTGGAGCCACCGCTAGGATTCCAAGTTGCCTTTTTATTTGGGGATTTGGATTAGGATCTTCAAAAACTTTTTCATTTCTTAATTTTGAGACCGGAGTTTCCATGTTGGCCAGACTGGCCTCCAACTTGAGGCCTTCCTACCTTGGTCTCCAGCACAGGACTGCTTTCAGGTTTCATCAGAAGCCTGAATCTACTCCTCCTTCCTGAGGACACCTGTGCGGGTGGAACTTCATTTCCACAGGATCTGGCCCATTGGAGTGCAGCTCAGTGTTACCGACTCTGCAGATCACAAACAGCAAACAGCCATCAGAGGAAAAATCCCTGGGATGAAAGCAGACAACTGAGGAAGCTGCTGAAGCTAGAGGAGATCTTCTGTGGCCAACCAGTCACCAACCCAGGTGGTCAGTGACCTGGCCATGCTCCAAGGCCAGCGGGGACTCCAGCATTCCTTTGGTTTGGTGTCTTGTGAACTAGATTGGTGGCAATAACTTCTCATGAGCAATCCGAGGATGGTGTGATACTTAGACTTTTGCATCCATTTCCATCATTTTCTTCCCATAAAACATAACATTTTCCCATGGCATGAAATACACTTCTACCATTTACAGTGACTCTATGGTGTTGTATCTGTGCATTTTATGTATATTTTTTGGCCATAAATAATTTATCAACTGGCTTACAGAATCATCATTTGCTGTTTTTTTTTTTTTTTCCCCCTTCAACAGTAATTTACCCTCGGTTCTTTATATTTCTTGGTTTTTATTTATTTATTTTTTTTAGGGATGATTGAACACAGGGATGCTGAACCACTAAGCAACATACCCAGTACCACTGCTCCACCTCAAAGATTACTTTTTATTCTTACACAGGGACTTGCTATCTTGCTTAGGGCCTCACTCTGGCCTCTAGCTTGCCATACTCCTGTCTTAGCCTCTCATGTTGCTGGGAGTATAAGTGTGGGCCACAAAGCCCTTCTCTTTAGTGAACTGAAGAATGATATTTGAGGGGACCCGGGTGGTGGCTCCGCGGTAAAGCGCTTGTCTAGCACATGTGAGGCACTCGTTTAGACTCTCTGTACCACTTATACATAAATACAAATAAAGTTCTATCAACAACTAAAAAAATTAAAATTTAAAAAAAGAATGATATTTGACAAGGAGTCAAAACATAAGCATGTGCCAAGAGAAAGAAAAGCACCTTCAGGCAATCTTCCAGGGGACCCAGTACTTTTTTGGATTCTTTCTATGCCTGATGATCGATCTACACTTACATTTGTGTAGAATTAGTCTCACTCGAAAGAAAAATCTGCAATAAAATTGAATTAATGCTTATATTATTGTTTGGAGCTGGTGGCTGTTTACCACAGCTTTAAGGAGTTGGTGCGCATAAACTCTCATTACTGTTATCTGTACTACACCCTTTTTACCACCTTTGAAGCCTAAAGAAGAAAAGTGAAATCCATAGCTGCTGGAATTACAGGAGAGGACCACCACACCCGGCGTCTTAGTGGTTTTGATGGAAATCACAGCATCGAACAAACACTGAAATGACAGCATGACCTATCTCTAATAGTGCGGTGTGTGTCCCCTGGAATTCCTGTGTTGAAACTTGAATCCCTGAATTACAGGTTGATCATATTTGGAGGCACTTTGGGAGGTGACTGGCTCTACCGGACTCACCCTTCATACACAGATCAGTCCATTCAAGGATTCATAAGTTTCCTTAGGAGAGTGACTTTGCTACCAAAGTCAATTCTCTCCAGCGGGACAGCTCTGTCTGGCCTCATGATGGCCTCTTCTATGTTAGGATTTAGCCCAAAGACCCTCACCAATGGTCAAGGAGATCCCCAGACCATGTTCGTGGACACTCCTGTCTTCAGAAACTTGAGCCAAATAAACTTTTTCTTTTCTTTTCTTTTTTTTTTTTTTTTTTTTTTTTTTGGCTTTGGTATCGGGCATTGATCACAGGGGTGCTTAACCATGGAGAGAAACGTCTAATCCTTTTCTTAAAATGATTATTATTTTTTATTTCGGTACAGGATCTCTCTAAGTTATCTAAGGGTATTGCTAAGTTGTAACAAGTTCGCCAATCCTGCCTCAGCCACCCAGGCTGTCAGGAACACAGGAAAGTGCCAGGGCACTTAGTGAAATTTGATTCTTTTTAAAACAGTCACCACCCAATAGTCTTAACAAAAAAAAAAAAAAAAAAAAATATATATATATATATATATATATTTACATACATACACATATGCCTAAGATGCATGACAGATATGCCTATCAACTTTGTAAGACACATACATACTGATGTGTTTTTTCAAAGTTAGCACATATGTTAGAAATAGAGTCAAAAACAATTGACATTATTATTTATCTGCTCTTGGTGTTAGCTCGGAGAAACTGAATTGTGTAGGGAGTTACAAGAGGCTTGGGTGCAATCTGGATTTCCAAACATTCTCCCAGGGCCCTAAGAGAAACCTGATCAATGGCTGTCTCTTCCCAAAGAACCCACAGGACCAGGGGCCCCCAGGGAAGCAGCAGCAGCCAGGAGATGGTGTCATAGGAAGTCACAAGGCAGGGCCTTGGTAGGAAGCTGTGTGGACTGGAACAGACAAACCCTCTCACAGGCTACTGCAGGTTTCTGGGGGCACTAGCCTCTTGTCCCTCACCTTGGAGCAAGACACACAATGCCCGTTTGTGATGTCACTGTCCTCTCAGCTCAGTGAGAAAAGCCCGATAGGCCAGCTCAGGTGGCACCTGTGTAATCAATCCTAGTGTCCCTCACGGATCACTTCCTACAAGACTATACCTTTGTGCTTTGGTCCTGCGTGGCCCTCCACAAGGAGGTTGCTAAGCCCAGCTTGTATCTTGGACCATCGGACCTGGTACTGGCCCTCCCTGCCTTACTGCTAGGGCTGTCATGCATTAAATGCACATGGGATGGGACCCAATGAAAATGTTTCCCTAACCAGACTTCCCTCTAGGTGCTCCACTTGTGCCCCTCCAATTGGAAGAAATAAATAAATAAAATGGCCAGAGGAGAAACACTCCAGAAACTACGGCTGCCTTGCATTTTGCTCAATCTCAGAAAACTTGCTCCCCTGGTAAAAAATTTCTTTTGGGTTCCATTGCATATCAACGTGAGATCTAATGAACAGAGTCCTGGGTTATATCCAAGGACCACATTAAAAAAAAAAAAAACCAACTCACCCCATTTTCATGTTCTCTCTCTCTTTTTGAACTCACTTTCCACGTGACCACTTCTTCCCATGTCTGCATTCACCACAGCCTAGAGGACATAAAATACATGAATACCACAACACCAAGTCCCCTACCTCAACATTCTCTGCCTGAAATCTAAAGGGGAAACTTGAAAATAAACCAACATCCAGGCTGGAGGACACCAGTCAGGTGTCTCGAAGAAGCTTCCTCTCTCTCTCCTTGTGACAGACTCGTTTTTTAAGGCCACTTTAGAAAAGTAGATGATGCTAGCGATTTTCATTCAACTTTAAAAGTCACTTCATAGTATGGTTTCAATGGTTGTGCCCTGGAAACCCATTGTCGGAAAGTTAATCCCAAAATTATGTGTGAACGGGAACTGAAGTATTTCTGGGAGGTCACTGGCTCATGAGAACTCTGCCCTCATGCACAGGCACTGATCAGTCCACTCATGGATTCATAGGTTTTGTGGGGAGTGACTCTGCTATAAAAGCCAGGTGTCTCCAAGAAGCTTCCTCTGTCTCTCTGTGCTGGCCTCTTCCACATTATGATTAAGCAAGAAGACCCCCACCAACGGCTCAGCAGACACTGAGGTCCTATTCTTAGATTTCCCATCTCCACAACCATGAGGACAGGAAATGTCCATTTCTTACAAAATACTCAGCTTCAGGTATTTTTGTTATGGCAACAGAACCTAGACTAAGACACATCACCATGTGCACATTGGCTCTCTGGAAGACATACATATTGACACGTTGGATTCCCAACTTCTTGTGTCCTAAAAAGAGTAAAAAACAAACCGAACCGTGTCATTTCTCTCACCTGGTCTGAGCACTCACAAACTACAGAGGGAGGAAGACTGGGTGCAGTTCAACTCAGAACAGACTGAATGAGCAGGGCCTCCCTGAACGTTCCACCAGAGAGAGGGGAGGCCCAGGGGAGGATGGCACTCAGGCCTTGGTCAGAGTTCAGATGGAAAACAACAGGAGAGAGGAGCTGGAAGCTGCTGCACTGGCACCACGATTTCCAGCTGGTCCTGGGCAACACGGCAAAGCCTGTCTCGGGCAGAATCACGACAGAGGCAAACATCGTGAACCAAACGCCACAAATACTGAAAAAGCAAAAGCAGCATCGGGAGCTGCTTCCTCAGAACTGGGCAAAGGACAGGGCGGCCATGTTGCCTGGTGCCTTTGTCTGGGTGGCGTTTTTTCAGACAGCCAGGGCGGGAGAGGCGCGCTCAGGCCCAGGGCTGCTGGCCATAGCTGGAGCTCTACCGCCACCGTGCGGAACCAGTTTCAAGACGCCCTGCGCCACTCAAGCCTCCTTCCCAGGAGGCCTCGCTGTGGGGGAGGATCTGTGTTTCAAGGAGCGAGTTCCAAGCGGCTTGGGCTGCCCTCTGGGCCTCCTGGCCTTCTCCCAGGGTCCTGAGGGAGACCTGGGCTCTGGCGCGCTCTCAGCAAAGAACCCGGAGAGCCAGGGACCTGAGGGGACTAGCAGTGGGCAGGAGCTGGTGTCAGAGGAAGTCGTGGGGCGGGGCCTCCATAGGAGCTGCTTGGACTGGAGCGGAGGGACCCACTAAGGGGCAATCCAGGGAGGTCTCCCTGGGCCTAGGTGCCCAGCGCGAGGAGGCGCTGAATTCCCAGAAGCCATGGCCAGGGGCAGCTCTTTTGGGAGAACAGGAACCTGAGCCAGGGCGTCTGTTTCCTGTGTTGTTGCTGCCGCCACCTGCTGGGAAGAGGAAATTTTGTGTGCAGGCAGCAGCTAGCTCCAGGAGAGCTGGTCATGCAATGACAGTTGTGCCTGGCTACTGGGTCTGCACTCATCAGGGGCTGAGGTTGACTAGGCAGCCCATTGACTGCTGCAATACCAGGCAGCAGCATCTTCCTGCAAGAGATGAGCAACCTACACCCCTAACCCCCGCGCCCCCCCCACCCCCCACACAGTGCCCAATGGCTAGGCACTGGCAGGACAGGCCACAGCCCTTGGACAGGTGTACTGGGCTACCTGCGGGCACTGGAAGGTCCTAAGGTCCCTGCGGGCCAAAGTCCCTCTTAGAAGGGCAGCCTGTTGCTCTCCGAACCCCATAATAGGGCATTTCCAGTGTATTCAGCTATGGGGGCCCAGGCCCCACTGAGCAGCTGACCTGGGAGCGCCCTCTGTTACTCACCTGCAGGGCTGTGAGGCTTTCTGTGACTCACCAGCTACTGAGAAGTGCCCTTCCTTGCAATTACTGAGCCCAGAAGAACAGGTTTCTGTCACCTACTATAAGCTGCTTGTGGATCCTGGGGCGCCCCATCGACTGCTGGATGTGAGCCCTCAAGGGGAGGTGGACGACTATCTTTTCCCTCGTGCCTTCTGCTTCCAATGATAGAAGATGTCCTACAGAAATAAACGTTTAAAATGCAAAGTGTTAATTATCTGGGAAGGGGTCATTCATTATAACATTCGGATTAATAAACACGAAAACTTTCCAACTCAGTAAAATAAACCACCTCTATACTCTGTCAAAAAAAAGAAAAGAAAGAAAGAAAAAAAAAAAAAAACCGGGAAAAAGGCTAATGCAGTCTCTTGAGGGTACCAGCCTTGTGTTGTTCCCCTTGGAACAAGAAGGAACATGCACTTTCTTGATGTCACTGTGCAATGGCACGGGGATCCCTCCTCACAGTGTTGAGAACATCAAGGTCAGGTCTGTTCTGGTGGTACCTGTGTGCACATTCCTGGTGTCCATCATTATCCAGGTTCTGCACCCAGACTCTGCATTTCTGCTTTGTCTCAGCCTGGCGATACAAAGAGGTTGCGAAGCCCAGTTTCCTCAAAAATTCTGAGTGTGAGAATGTTCCCAGGTAATTGCAACTTTTTTCTCTTATTCTGTGAGCTGCCTCTTCCTATTGTTGGTCACTCCCTTGGAAGCAAAAGGAGATGACTTCCTGACCATCCAGTCATTCTTCTCTCATTTCTGCTTTCAGCAGTGTTTTCAAGACAACATTGCCACATCCATGGACAGCAACATGTAGGCCTACATTTGTCTTTCAAATGCTGTCCGTGTGGTTTTCATGAGGAGATCCTTGATGCATTTTAAGTGAATTTTTGCATAGGCTCCACCAAATAACAGCTTTGCAAACATAAGCGTTCTTGGTGCTTGTCTTTAGCAGATCGGCTGCACTGCAAGTTCTTCCAATTCTTCTCTGCCCTTCTCTTCAGACCACCCTAGCCTCCAGACAATTAGGCCTGCCTGCAAACAACTGGACACACTTCTGATGCTGCCCTATGCCACCCAAAACTGACATGTCCTTTGGGCTCCACCTGGGGGCTAAGGGATCCGAGCACAACAGCATGGTGACTTCACATAAGGGACTGCTATATCTTGCTCCAAGGGACCTGAACAAGGAAACAGTATCCACAAGGGCCTGCATTACCCTTTGCACAGTGTCCCTCAGGTGAAGTCCACACAGTTGAGCAACGAGGCCCCGCCCCACGACTTCCTGTGAGAGCAATTCCTGGCTGCTGCTAGTCAGCTCTGGGCCCCCTGCTCTGCAGGTTCTATGGTGAGGGAGCGCCACTGCCCAGGTCTCCCTCAGGGCCCTAGGAGAAGGCAAGGAGGCCCAGATGGCAGCCCAAGGATCTTCCAACTCCCTGCCTGTCCGATCTGCCCAACAGCAAGGCCTCCTGGGAAGGAGGCATGAATGGCGCTGGGTGTCTTCTTGAAACTGTTTCCGCACGATGGCAGTAGAGCTGCAGACATGGCTACCAGGACTCATCCTGGGAGCCCTTCTCCCGCCCTTCCTGTCTGAAAAAACGCTGCCCAGAGAAAAAGGCTAAGGAAACCTGGCTCCCTTGTCTTTTGCCCTCAGAGAAGGAACAAGCTGTCCAGTCTGTTTTTTTTTTTTTTTTTTTTTTTTTTTGGTACCAGGCATTGAATTCAGGGGCATTTAAGCACTGAGCAACATCCGCATCCCTATTTTGTAATTTATTTAGAGACAGGCTCTCACTGATTTGCTTAGTCCCTCAACTTGCCCTTGCTGAGGCTGGCTTTCAACTGGAAATCCTCCCGAATCAACCTGTGGAGCCACCGCTAGGATTCCAAGTTGCCTTTTTATTTGGGGATTTGGATTAGGATCTTCAAAAACTTTTTCATTTCTTAATTTTGAGACCGGAGTTTCCATGTTGGCCAGACTGGCCTCCAACTTGAGGCCTTCCTACCTTGGTCTCCAGCACAGGACTGCTTTCAGGTTTCATCAGAAGCCTGAATCTACTCCTCCTTCCTGAGGACACCTGTGCGGGTGGAACTTCATTTCCACAGGATCTGGCCCATTGGAGTGCAGCTCAGTGTTACCGACTCTGCAGATCACAAACAGCAAACAGCCATCAGAGGAAAAATCCCTGGGATGAAAGCAGACAACTGAGGAAGCTGCTGAAGCTAGAGGAGATCTTCTGTGGCCAACCAGTCACCAACCCAGGTGGTCAGTGACCTGGCCATGCTCCAAGGCCAGCGGGGACTCCAGCATTCCTTTGGTTTGGTGTCTTGTGAACTAGATTGGTGGCAATAACTTCTCATGAGCAATCCGAGGATGGTGTGATACTTAGACTTTTGCATCCATTTCCATCATTTTCTTCCCATAAAACATAACATTTTCCCATGGCATGAAATACACTTCTACCATTTACAGTGACTCTATGGTGTTGTATCTGTGCATTTTATGTATATTTTTTGGCCATAAATAATTTATCAACTGGCTTACAGAATCATCATTTGCTGTTTTTTTTTTTTTTTCCCCCTTCAACAGTAATTTACCCTCGGTTCTTTATATTTCTTGGTTTTTATTTATTTATTTTTTTTAGGGATGATTGAACACAGGGATGCTGAACCACTAAGCAACATACCCAGTACCACTGCTCCACCTCAAAGATTACTTTTTATTCTTACACAGGGACTTGCTATCTTGCTTAGGGCCTCACTCTGGCCTCTAGCTTGCCATACTCCTGTCTTAGCCTCTCATGTTGCTGGGAGTATAAGTGTGGGCCACAAAGCCCTTCTCTTTAGTGAACTGAAGAATGATATTTGAGGGGACCCGGGTGGTGGCTCCGCGGTAAAGCGCTTGTCTAGCACATGTGAGGCACTCGTTTAGACTCTCTGTACCACTTATACATAAATACAAATAAAGTTCTATCAACAACTAAAAAAATTAAAATTTAAAAAAAGAATGATATTTGACAAGGAGTCAAAACATAAGCATGTGCCAAGAGAAAGAAAAGCACCTTCAGGCAATCTTCCAGGGGACCCAGTACTTTTTTGGATTCTTTCTATGCCTGATGATCGATCTACACTTACATTTGTGTAGAATTAGTCTCACTCGAAAGAAAAATCTGCAATAAAATTGAATTAATGCTTATATTATTGTTTGGAGCTGGTGGCTGTTTACCACAGCTTTAAGGAGTTGGTGCGCATAAACTCTCATTACTGTTATCTGTACTACACCCTTTTTACCACCTTTGAAGCCTAAAGAAGAAAAGTGAAATCCATAGCTGCTGGAATTACAGGAGAGGACCACCACACCCGGCGTCTTAGTGGTTTTGATGGAAATCACAGCATCGAACAAACACTGAAATGACAGCATGACCTATCTCTAATAGTGCGGTGTGTGTCCCCTGGAATTCCTGTGTTGAAACTTGAATCCCTGAATTACAGGTTGATCATATTTGGAGGCACTTTGGGAGGTGACTGGCTCTACCGGACTCACCCTTCATACACAGATCAGTCCATTCAAGGATTCATAAGTTTCCTTAGGAGAGTGACTTTGCTACCAAAGTCAATTCTCTCCAGCGGGACAGCTCTGTCTGGCCTCATGATGGCCTCTTCTATGTTAGGATTTAGCCCAAAGACCCTCACCAATGGTCAAGGAGATCCCCAGACCATGTTCGTGGACACTCCTGTCTTCAGAAACTTGAGCCAAATAAACTTTTTCTTTTCTTTTCTTTTTTTTTTTTTTTTTTTTTTTTTTGGCTTTGGTATCGGGCATTGATCACAGGGGTGCTTAACCATGGAGAGAAACGTCTAATCCTTTTCTTAAAATGATTATTATTTTTTATTTCGGTACAGGATCTCTCTAAGTTATCTAAGGGTATTGCTAAGTTGTAACAAGTTCGCCAATCCTGCCTCAGCCACCCAGGCTGTCAGGAACACAGGAAAGTGCCAGGGCACTTAGTGAAATTTGATTCTTTTTAAAACAGTCACCACCCAATAGTCTTATCGAAAAAAGAAAAAAAAAAAAATATATATATATATATATATATTTACATACATACACATATGCCTAAGATGCATGACAGATATGCCTATCAACTTTGTAAGACACATACATACTGATGTGTTTTTTCAAAGTTAGCACATATGTTAGAAATAGAGTCAAAAACAATTGACATTATTATTTATCTGCTCTTGGTGTTAGCTCGGAGAAACTGAATTGTGTAGGGAGTTACAAGAGGCTTGGGTGCAATCTGGATTTCCAAACATTCTCCCAGGGCCCTAAGAGAAACCTGATCAATGGCTGTCTCTTCCCAAAGAACCCACAGGACCAGGGGCCCCCAGGGAAGCAGCAGCAGCCAGGAGATGGTGTCATAGGAAGTCACAAGGCAGGGCCTTGGTAGGAAGCTGTGTGGACTGGAACAGACAAACCCTCTCACAGGCTACTGCAGGTTTCTGGGGGCACTAGCCTCTTGTCCCTCACCTTGGAGCAAGACACACAATGCCCGTTTGTGATGTCACTGTCCTCTCAGCTCAGTGAGAAAAGCCCGATAGGCCAGCTCAGGTGGCACCTGTGTAATCAATCCTAGTGTCCCTCACGGATCACTTCCTACAAGACTATACCTTTGTGCTTTGGTCCTGCGTGGCCCTCCACAAGGAGGTTGCTAAGCCCAGCTTGTATCTTGGACCATCGGACCTGGTACTGGCCCTCCCTGCCTTACTGCTAGGGCTGTCATGCATTAAATGCACATGGGATGGGACCCAATGAAAATGTTTCCCTAACCAGACTTCCCTCTAGGTGCTCCACTTGTGCCCCTCCAATTGGAAGAAATAAATAAATAAAATGGCCAGAGGAGAAACACTCCAGAAACTACGGCTGCCTTGCATTTTGCTCAATCTCAGAAAACTTGCTCCCCTGGTAAAAAATTTCTTTTGGGTTCCATTGCATATCAACGTGAGATCTAATGAACAGAGTCCTGGGTTATATCCAAGGACCACATTAAAAAAAAAAAAAACCAACTCACCCCATTTTCATGTTCTCTCTCTCTTTTTGAACTCACTTTCCACGTGACCACTTCTTCCCATGTCTGCATTCACCACAGCCTAGAGGACATAAAATACATGAATACCACAACACCAAGTCCCCTACCTCAACATTCTCTGCCTGAAATCTAAAGGGGAAACTTGAAAATAAACCAACATCCAGGCTGGAGGACACCAGTCAGGTGTCTCGAAGAAGCTTCCTCTCTCTCTCCTTGTGACAGACTCGTTTTTTAAGGCCACTTTAGAAAAGTAGATGATGCTAGCGATTTTCATTCAACTTTAAAAGTCACTTCATAGTATGGTTTCAATGGTTGTGCCCTGGAAACCCATTGTCGGAAAGTTAATCCCAAAATTATGTGTGAACGGGAACTGAAGTATTTCTGGGAGGTCACTGGCTCATGAGAACTCTGCCCTCATGCACAGGCACTGATCAGTCCACTCATGGATTCATAGGTTTTGTGGGGAGTGACTCTGCTATAAAAGCCAGGTGTCTCCAAGAAGCTTCCTCTGTCTCTCTGTGCTGGCCTCTTCCACATTATGATTAAGCAAGAAGACCCCCACCAACGGCTCAGCAGACACTGAGGTCCTATTCTTAGATTTCCCATCTCCACAACCATGAGGACAGGAAATGTCCATTTCTTACAAAATACTCAGCTTCAGGTATTTTTGTTATGGCAACAGAACCTAGACTAAGACACATCACCATGTGCACATTGGCTCTCTGGAAGACATACATATTGACACGTTGGATTCCCAACTTCTTGTGTCCTAAAAAGAGTAAAAAACAAACCGAACCGTGTCATTTCTCTCACCTGGTCTGAGCACTCACAAACTACAGAGGGAGGAAGACTGGGTGCAGTTCAACTCAGAACAGACTGAATGAGCAGGGCCTCCCTGAACGTTCCACCAGAGAGAGGGGAGGCCCAGGGGAGGATGGCACTCAGGCCTTGGTCAGAGTTCAGATGGAAAACAACAGGAGAGAGGAGCTGGAAGCTGCTGCACTGGCACCACGATTTCCAGCTGGTCCTGGGCAACACGGCAAAGCCTGTCTCGGGCAGAATCACGACAGAGGCAAACATCGTGAACCAAACGCCACAAATACTGAAAAAGCAAAAGCAGCATCGGGAGCTGCTTCCTCAGAACTGGGCAAAGGACAGGGCGGCCATGTTGCCTGGTGCCTTTGTCTGGGTGGCGTTTTTTCAGACAGCCAGGGCGGGAGAGGCGCGCTCAGGCCCAGGGCTGCTGGCCATAGCTGGAGCTCTACCGCCACCGTGCGGAACCAGTTTCAAGACGCCCTGCGCCACTCAAGCCTCCTTCCCAGGAGGCCTCGCTGTGGGGGAGGATCTGTGTTTCAAGGAGCGAGTTCCAAGCGGCTTGGGCTGCCCTCTGGGCCTCCTGGCCTTCTCCCAGGGTCCTGAGGGAGACCTGGGCTCTGGCGCGCTCTCAGCAAAGAACCCGGAGAGCCAGGGACCTGAGGGGACTAGCAGTGGGCAGGAGCTGGTGTCAGAGGAAGTCGTGGGGCGGGGCCTCCATAGGAGCTGCTTGGACTGGAGCGGAGGGACCCACTAAGGGGCAATCCAGGGAGGTCTCCCTGGGCCTAGGTGCCCAGCGCGAGGAGGCGCTGAATTCCCAGAAGCCATGGCCAGGGGCAGCTCTTTTGGGAGAACAGGAACCTGAGCCAGGGCGTCTGTTTCCTGTGTTGTTGCTGCCGCCACCTGCTGGGAAGAGGAAATTTTGTGTGCAGGCAGCAGCTAGCTCCAGGAGAGCTGGTCATGCAATGACAGTTGTGCCTGGCTACTGGGTCTGCACTCATCAGGGGCTGAGGTTGACTAGGCAGCCCATTGACTGCTGCAATACCAGGCAGCAGCATCTTCCTGCAAGAGATGAGCAACCTACACCCCTAACCCCCGCGCCCCCCCCACCCCCCACACAGTGCCCAATGGCTAGGCACTGGCAGGACAGGCCACAGCCCTTGGACAGGTGTACTGGGCTACCTGCGGGCACTGGAAGGTCCTAAGGTCCCTGCGGGCCAAAGTCCCTCTTAGAAGGGCAGCCTGTTGCTCTCCGAACCCCATAATAGGGCATTTCCAGTGTATTCAGCTATGGGGGCCCAGGCCCCACTGAGCAGCTGACCTGGGAGCGCCCTCTGTTACTCACCTGCAGGGCTGTGAGGCTTTCTGTGACTCACCAGCTACTGAGAAGTGCCCTTCCTTGCAATTACTGAGCCCAGAAGAACAGGTTTCTGTCACCTACTATAAGCTGCTTGTGGATCCTGGGGCGCCCCATCGACTGCTGGATGTGAGCCCTCAAGGGGAGGTGGACGACTATCTTTTCCCTCGTGCCTTCTGCTTCCAATGATAGAAGATGTCCTACAGAAATAAACGTTTAAAATGCAAAGTGTTAATTATCTGGGAAGGGGTCATTCATTATAACATTCGGATTAATAAACACGAAAACTTTCCAACTCAGTAAAATAAACCACCTCTATACTCTGTCAAAAAAAAGAAAAGAAAGAAAGAAAAAAAAAAAAAAACCGGGAAAAAGGCTAATGCAGTCTCTTGAGGGTACCAGCCTTGTGTTGTTCCCCTTGGAACAAGAAGGAACATGCACTTTCTTGATGTCACTGTGCAATGGCACGGGGATCCCTCCTCACAGTGTTGAGAACATCAAGGTCAGGTCTGTTCTGGTGGTACCTGTGTGCACATTCCTGGTGTCCATCATTATCCAGGTTCTGCACCCAGACTCTGCATTTCTGCTTTGTCTCAGCCTGGCGATACAAAGAGGTTGCGAAGCCCAGTTTCCTCAAAAATTCTGAGTGTGAGAATGTTCCCAGGTAATTGCAACTTTTTTCTCTTATTCTGTGAGCTGCCTCTTCCTATTGTTGGTCACTCCCTTGGAAGCAAAAGGAGATGACTTCCTGACCATCCAGTCATTCTTCTCTCATTTCTGCTTTCAGCAGTGTTTTCAAGACAACATTGCCACATCCATGGACAGCAACATGTAGGCCTACATTTGTCTTTCAAATGCTGTCCGTGTGGTTTTCATGAGGAGATCCTTGATGCATTTTAAGTGAATTTTTGCATAGGCTCCACCAAATAACAGCTTTGCAAACATAAGCGTTCTTGGTGCTTGTCTTTAGCAGATCGGCTGCACTGCAAGTTCTTCCAATTCTTCTCTGCCCTTCTCTTCAGACCACCCTAGCCTCCAGACAATTAGGCCTGCCTGCAAACAACTGGACACACTTCTGATGCTGCCCTATGCCACCCAAAACTGACATGTCCTTTGGGCTCCACCTGGGGGCTAAGGGATCCGAGCACAACAGCATGGTGACTTCACATAAGGGACTGCTATATCTTGCTCCAAGGGACCTGAACAAGGAAACAGTATCCACAAGGGCCTGCATTACCCTTTGCACAGTGTCCCTCAGGTGAAGTCCACACAGTTGAGCAACGAGGCCCCGCCCCACGACTTCCTGTGAGAGCAATTCCTGGCTGCTGCTAGTCAGCTCTGGGCCCCCTGCTCTGCAGGTTCTATGGTGAGGGAGCGCCACTGCCCAGGTCTCCCTCAGGGCCCTAGGAGAAGGCAAGGAGGCCCAGATGGCAGCCCAAGGATCTTCCAACTCCCTGCCTGTCCGATCTGCCCAACAGCAAGGCCTCCTGGGAAGGAGGCATGAATGGCGCTGGGTGTCTTCTTGAAACTGTTTCCGCACGATGGCAGTAGAGCTGCAGACATGGCTACCAGGACTCATCCTGGGAGCCCTTCTCCCGCCCTTCCTGTCTGAAAAAACGCTGCCCAGAGAAAAAGGCTAAGGAAACCTGGCTCCCTTGTCTTTTGCCCTCAGAGAAGGAACAAGCTGTCCAGTCTGTTTTTTTTTTTTTTTTTTTTTTTTTTTTTGGTACCAGGCATTGAATTCAGGGGCATTTAAGCACTGAGCAACATCCGCATCCCTATTTTGTAATTTATTTAGAGACAGGCTCTCACTGATTTGCTTAGTCCCTCAACTTGCCCTTGCTGAGGCTGGCTTTCAACTGGAAATCCTCCCGAATCAACCTGTGGAGCCACCGCTAGGATTCCAAGTTGCCTTTTTATTTGGGGATTTGGATTAGGATCTTCAAAAACTTTTTCATTTCTTAATTTTGAGACCGGAGTTTCCATGTTGGCCAGACTGGCCTCCAACTTGAGGCCTTCCTACCTTGGTCTCCAGCACAGGACTGCTTTCAGGTTTCATCAGAAGCCTGAATCTACTCCTCCTTCCTGAGGACACCTGTGCGGGTGGAACTTCATTTCCACAGGATCTGGCCCATTGGAGTGCAGCTCAGTGTTACCGACTCTGCAGATCACAAACAGCAAACAGCCATCAGAGGAAAAATCCCTGGGATGAAAGCAGACAACTGAGGAAGCTGCTGAAGCTAGAGGAGATCTTCTGTGGCCAACCAGTCACCAACCCAGGTGGTCAGTGACCTGGCCATGCTCCAAGGCCAGCGGGGACTCCAGCATTCCTTTGGTTTGGTGTCTTGTGAACTAGATTGGTGGCAATAACTTCTCATGAGCAATCCGAGGATGGTGTGATACTTAGACTTTTGCATCCATTTCCATCATTTTCTTCCCATAAAACATAACATTTTCCCATGGCATGAAATACACTTCTACCATTTACAGTGACTCTATGGTGTTGTATCTGTGCATTTTATGTATATTTTTTGGCCATAAATAATTTATCAACTGGCTTACAGAATCATCATTTGCTGTTTTTTTTTTTTTTTCCCCCTTCAACAGTAATTTACCCTCGGTTCTTTATATTTCTTGGTTTTTATTTATTTATTTTTTTTAGGGATGATTGAACACAGGGATGCTGAACCACTAAGCAACATACCCAGTACCACTGCTCCACCTCAAAGATTACTTTTTATTCTTACACAGGGACTTGCTATCTTGCTTAGGGCCTCACTCTGGCCTCTAGCTTGCCATACTCCTGTCTTAGCCTCTCATGTTGCTGGGAGTATAAGTGTGGGCCACAAAGCCCTTCTCTTTAGTGAACTGAAGAATGATATTTGAGGGGACCCGGGTGGTGGCTCCGCGGTAAAGCGCTTGTCTAGCACATGTGAGGCACTCGTTTAGACTCTCTGTACCACTTATACATAAATACAAATAAAGTTCTATCAACAACTAAAAAAATTAAAATTTAAAAAAAGAATGATATTTGACAAGGAGTCAAAACATAAGCATGTGCCAAGAGAAAGAAAAGCACCTTCAGGCAATCTTCCAGGGGACCCAGTACTTTTTTGGATTCTTTCTATGCCTGATGATCGATCTACACTTACATTTGTGTAGAATTAGTCTCACTCGAAAGAAAAATCTGCAATAAAATTGAATTAATGCTTATATTATTGTTTGGAGCTGGTGGCTGTTTACCACAGCTTTAAGGAGTTGGTGCGCATAAACTCTCATTACTGTTATCTGTACTACACCCTTTTTACCACCTTTGAAGCCTAAAGAAGAAAAGTGAAATCCATAGCTGCTGGAATTACAGGAGAGGACCACCACACCCGGCGTCTTAGTGGTTTTGATGGAAATCACAGCATCGAACAAACACTGAAATGACAGCATGACCTATCTCTAATAGTGCGGTGTGTGTCCCCTGGAATTCCTGTGTTGAAACTTGAATCCCTGAATTACAGGTTGATCATATTTGGAGGCACTTTGGGAGGTGACTGGCTCTACCGGACTCACCCTTCATACACAGATCAGTCCATTCAAGGATTCATAAGTTTCCTTAGGAGAGTGACTTTGCTACCAAAGTCAATTCTCTCCAGCGGGACAGCTCTGTCTGGCCTCATGATGGCCTCTTCTATGTTAGGATTTAGCCCAAAGACCCTCACCAATGGTCAAGGAGATCCCCAGACCATGTTCGTGGACACTCCTGTCTTCAGAAACTTGAGCCAAATAAACTTTTTCTTTTCTTTTCTTTTTTTTTTTTTTTTTTTTTTTTTTGGCTTTGGTATCGGGCATTGATCACAGGGGTGCTTAACCATGGAGAGAAACGTCTAATCCTTTTCTTAAAATGATTATTATTTTTTATTTCGGTACAGGATCTCTCTAAGTTATCTAAGGGTATTGCTAAGTTGTAACAAGTTCGCCAATCCTGCCTCAGCCACCCAGGCTGTCAGGAACACAGGAAAGTGCCAGGGCACTTAGTGAAATTTGATTCTTTTTAAAACAGTCACCACCCAATAGTCTTATCGAAAAAAGAAAAAAAAAAAAAATATATATATATATATATATATTTACATACATACACATATGCCTAAGATGCATGACAGATATGCCTATCAACTTTGTAAGACACATACATACTGATGTGTTTTTTCAAAGTTAGCACATATGTTAGAAATAGAGTCAAAAACAATTGACATTATTATTTATCTGCTCTTGGTGTTAGCTCGGAGAAACTGAATTGTGTAGGGAGTTACAAGAGGCTTGGGTGCAATCTGGATTTCCAAACATTCTCCCAGGGCCCTAAGAGAAACCTGATCAATGGCTGTCTCTTCCCAAAGAACCCACAGGACCAGGGGCCCCCAGGGAAGCAGCAGCAGCCAGGAGATGGTGTCATAGGAAGTCACAAGGCAGGGCCTTGGTAGGAAGCTGTGTGGACTGGAACAGACAAACCCTCTCACAGGCTACTGCAGGTTTCTGGGGGCACTAGCCTCTTGTCCCTCACCTTGGAGCAAGACACACAATGCCCGTTTGTGATGTCACTGTCCTCTCAGCTCAGTGAGAAAAGCCCGATAGGCCAGCTCAGGTGGCACCTGTGTAATCAATCCTAGTGTCCCTCACGGATCACTTCCTACAAGACTATACCTTTGTGCTTTGGTCCTGCGTGGCCCTCCACAAGGAGGTTGCTAAGCCCAGCTTGTATCTTGGACCATCGGACCTGGTACTGGCCCTCCCTGCCTTACTGCTAGGGCTGTCATGCATTAAATGCACATGGGATGGGACCCAATGAAAATGTTTCCCTAACCAGACTTCCCTCTAGGTGCTCCACTTGTGCCCCTCCAATTGGAAGAAATAAATAAATAAAATGGCCAGAGGAGAAACACTCCAGAAACTACGGCTGCCTTGCATTTTGCTCAATCTCAGAAAACTTGCTCCCCTGGTAAAAAATTTCTTTTGGGTTCCATTGCATATCAACGTGAGATCTAATGAACAGAGTCCTGGGTTATATCCAAGGACCACATTAAAAAAAAAAAAAACCAACTCACCCCATTTTCATGTTCTCTCTCTCTTTTTGAACTCACTTTCCACGTGACCACTTCTTCCCATGTCTGCATTCACCACAGCCTAGAGGACATAAAATACATGAATACCACAACACCAAGTCCCCTACCTCAACATTCTCTGCCTGAAATCTAAAGGGGAAACTTGAAAATAAACCAACATCCAGGCTGGAGGACACCAGTCAGGTGTCTCGAAGAAGCTTCCTCTCTCTCTCCTTGTGACAGACTCGTTTTTTAAGGCCACTTTAGAAAAGTAGATGATGCTAGCGATTTTCATTCAACTTTAAAAGTCACTTCATAGTATGGTTTCAATGGTTGTGCCCTGGAAACCCATTGTCGGAAAGTTAATCCCAAAATTATGTGTGAACGGGAACTGAAGTATTTCTGGGAGGTCACTGGCTCATGAGAACTCTGCCCTCATGCACAGGCACTGATCAGTCCACTCATGGATTCATAGGTTTTGTGGGGAGTGACTCTGCTATAAAAGCCAGGTGTCTCCAAGAAGCTTCCTCTGTCTCTCTGTGCTGGCCTCTTCCACATTATGATTAAGCAAGAAGACCCCCACCAACGGCTCAGCAGACACTGAGGTCCTATTCTTAGATTTCCCATCTCCACAACCATGAGGACAGGAAATGTCCATTTCTTACAAAATACTCAGCTTCAGGTATTTTTGTTATGGCAACAGAACCTAGACTAAGACACATCACCATGTGCACATTGGCTCTCTGGAAGACATACATATTGACACGTTGGATTCCCAACTTCTTGTGTCCTAAAAAGAGTAAAAAACAAACCGAACCGTGTCATTTCTCTCACCTGGTCTGAGCACTCACAAACTACAGAGGGAGGAAGACTGGGTGCAGTTCAACTCAGAACAGACTGAATGAGCAGGGCCTCCCTGAACGTTCCACCAGAGAGAGGGGAGGCCCAGGGGAGGATGGCACTCAGGCCTTGGTCAGAGTTCAGATGGAAAACAACAGGAGAGAGGAGCTGGAAGCTGCTGCACTGGCACCACGATTTCCAGCTGGTCCTGGGCAACACGGCAAAGCCTGTCTCGGGCAGAATCACGACAGAGGCAAACATCGTGAACCAAACGCCACAAATACTGAAAAAGCAAAAGCAGCATCGGGAGCTGCTTCCTCAGAACTGGGCAAAGGACAGGGCGGCCATGTTGCCTGGTGCCTTTGTCTGGGTGGCGTTTTTTCAGACAGCCAGGGCGGGAGAGGCGCGCTCAGGCCCAGGGCTGCTGGCCATAGCTGGAGCTCTACCGCCACCGTGCGGAACCAGTTTCAAGACGCCCTGCGCCACTCAAGCCTCCTTCCCAGGAGGCCTCGCTGTGGGGGAGGATCTGTGTTTCAAGGAGCGAGTTCCAAGCGGCTTGGGCTGCCCTCTGGGCCTCCTGGCCTTCTCCCAGGGTCCTGAGGGAGACCTGGGCTCTGGCGCGCTCTCAGCAAAGAACCCGGAGAGCCAGGGACCTGAGGGGACTAGCAGTGGGCAGGAGCTGGTGTCAGAGGAAGTCGTGGGGCGGGGCCTCCATAGGAGCTGCTTGGACTGGAGCGGAGGGACCCACTAAGGGGCAATCCAGGGAGGTCTCCCTGGGCCTAGGTGCCCAGCGCGAGGAGGCGCTGAATTCCCAGAAGCCATGGCCAGGGGCAGCTCTTTTGGGAGAACAGGAACCTGAGCCAGGGCGTCTGTTTCCTGTGTTGTTGCTGCCGCCACCTGCTGGGAAGAGGAAATTTTGTGTGCAGGCAGCAGCTAGCTCCAGGAGAGCTGGTCATGCAATGACAGTTGTGCCTGGCTACTGGGTCTGCACTCATCAGGGGCTGAGGTTGACTAGGCAGCCCATTGACTGCTGCAATACCAGGCAGCAGCATCTTCCTGCAAGAGATGAGCAACCTACACCCCTAACCCCCGCGCCCCCCCCACCCCCCACACAGTGCCCAATGGCTAGGCACTGGCAGGACAGGCCACAGCCCTTGGACAGGTGTACTGGGCTACCTGCGGGCACTGGAAGGTCCTAAGGTCCCTGCGGGCCAAAGTCCCTCTTAGAAGGGCAGCCTGTTGCTCTCCGAACCCCATAATAGGGCATTTCCAGTGTATTCAGCTATGGGGGCCCAGGCCCCACTGAGCAGCTGACCTGGGAGCGCCCTCTGTTACTCACCTGCAGGGCTGTGAGGCTTTCTGTGACTCACCAGCTACTGAGAAGTGCCCTTCCTTGCAATTACTGAGCCCAGAAGAACAGGTTTCTGTCACCTACTATAAGCTGCTTGTGGATCCTGGGGCGCCCCATCGACTGCTGGATGTGAGCCCTCAAGGGGAGGTGGACGACTATCTTTTCCCTCGTGCCTTCTGCTTCCAATGATAGAAGATGTCCTACAGAAATAAACGTTTAAAATGCAAAGTGTTAATTATCTGGGAAGGGGTCATTCATTATAACATTCGGATTAATAAACACGAAAACTTTCCAACTCAGTAAAATAAACCACCTCTATACTCTGTCAAAAAAAAGAAAAGAAAGAAAGAAAAAAAAAAAAAAACCGGGAAAAAGGCTAATGCAGTCTCTTGAGGGTACCAGCCTTGTGTTGTTCCCCTTGGAACAAGAAGGAACATGCACTTTCTTGATGTCACTGTGCAATGGCACGGGGATCCCTCCTCACAGTGTTGAGAACATCAAGGTCAGGTCTGTTCTGGTGGTACCTGTGTGCACATTCCTGGTGTCCATCATTATCCAGGTTCTGCACCCAGACTCTGCATTTCTGCTTTGTCTCAGCCTGGCGATACAAAGAGGTTGCGAAGCCCAGTTTCCTCAAAAATTCTGAGTGTGAGAATGTTCCCAGGTAATTGCAACTTTTTTCTCTTATTCTGTGAGCTGCCTCTTCCTATTGTTGGTCACTCCCTTGGAAGCAAAAGGAGATGACTTCCTGACCATCCAGTCATTCTTCTCTCATTTCTGCTTTCAGCAGTGTTTTCAAGACAACATTGCCACATCCATGGACAGCAACATGTAGGCCTACATTTGTCTTTCAAATGCTGTCCGTGTGGTTTTCATGAGGAGATCCTTGATGCATTTTAAGTGAATTTTTGCATAGGCTCCACCAAATAACAGCTTTGCAAACATAAGCGTTCTTGGTGCTTGTCTTTAGCAGATCGGCTGCACTGCAAGTTCTTCCAATTCTTCTCTGCCCTTCTCTTCAGACCACCCTAGCCTCCAGACAATTAGGCCTGCCTGCAAACAACTGGACACACTTCTGATGCTGCCCTATGCCACCCAAAACTGACATGTCCTTTGGGCTCCACCTGGGGGCTAAGGGATCCGAGCACAACAGCATGGTGACTTCACATAAGGGACTGCTATATCTTGCTCCAAGGGACCTGAACAAGGAAACAGTATCCACAAGGGCCTGCATTACCCTTTGCACAGTGTCCCTCAGGTGAAGTCCACACAGTTGAGCAACGAGGCCCCGCCCCACGACTTCCTGTGAGAGCAATTCCTGGCTGCTGCTAGTCAGCTCTGGGCCCCCTGCTCTGCAGGTTCTATGGTGAGGGAGCGCCACTGCCCAGGTCTCCCTCAGGGCCCTAGGAGAAGGCAAGGAGGCCCAGATGGCAGCCCAAGGATCTTCCAACTCCCTGCCTGTCCGATCTGCCCAACAGCAAGGCCTCCTGGGAAGGAGGCATGAATGGCGCTGGGTGTCTTCTTGAAACTGTTTCCGCACGATGGCAGTAGAGCTGCAGACATGGCTACCAGGACTCATCCTGGGAGCCCTTCTCCCGCCCTTCCTGTCTGAAAAAACGCTGCCCAGAGAAAAAGGCTAAGGAAACCTGGCTCCCTTGTCTTTTGCCCTCAGAGAAGGAACAAGCTGTCCAGTCTGTTTTTTTTTTTTTTTTTTTTTTTTTTTTGGTACCAGGCATTGAATTCAGGGGCATTTAAGCACTGAGCAACATCCGCATCCCTATTTTGTAATTTATTTAGAGACAGGCTCTCACTGATTTGCTTAGTCCCTCAACTTGCCCTTGCTGAGGCTGGCTTTCAACTGGAAATCCTCCCGAATCAACCTGTGGAGCCACCGCTAGGATTCCAAGTTGCCTTTTTATTTGGGGATTTGGATTAGGATCTTCAAAAACTTTTTCATTTCTTAATTTTGAGACCGGAGTTTCCATGTTGGCCAGACTGGCCTCCAACTTGAGGCCTTCCTACCTTGGTCTCCAGCACAGGACTGCTTTCAGGTTTCATCAGAAGCCTGAATCTACTCCTCCTTCCTGAGGACACCTGTGCGGGTGGAACTTCATTTCCACAGGATCTGGCCCATTGGAGTGCAGCTCAGTGTTACCGACTCTGCAGATCACAAACAGCAAACAGCCATCAGAGGAAAAATCCCTGGGATGAAAGCAGACAACTGAGGAAGCTGCTGAAGCTAGAGGAGATCTTCTGTGGCCAACCAGTCACCAACCCAGGTGGTCAGTGACCTGGCCATGCTCCAAGGCCAGCGGGGACTCCAGCATTCCTTTGGTTTGGTGTCTTGTGAACTAGATTGGTGGCAATAACTTCTCATGAGCAATCCGAGGATGGTGTGATACTTAGACTTTTGCATCCATTTCCATCATTTTCTTCCCATAAAACATAACATTTTCCCATGGCATGAAATACACTTCTACCATTTACAGTGACTCTATGGTGTTGTATCTGTGCATTTTATGTATATTTTTTGGCCATAAATAATTTATCAACTGGCTTACAGAATCATCATTTGCTGTTTTTTTTTTTTTTTCCCCCTTCAACAGTAATTTACCCTCGGTTCTTTATATTTCTTGGTTTTTATTTATTTATTTTTTTTAGGGATGATTGAACACAGGGATGCTGAACCACTAAGCAACATACCCAGTACCACTGCTCCACCTCAAAGATTACTTTTTATTCTTACACAGGGACTTGCTATCTTGCTTAGGGCCTCACTCTGGCCTCTAGCTTGCCATACTCCTGTCTTAGCCTCTCATGTTGCTGGGAGTATAAGTGTGGGCCACAAAGCCCTTCTCTTTAGTGAACTGAAGAATGATATTTGAGGGGACCCGGGTGGTGGCTCCGCGGTAAAGCGCTTGTCTAGCACATGTGAGGCACTCGTTTAGACTCTCTGTACCACTTATACATAAATACAAATAAAGTTCTATCAACAACTAAAAAAATTAAAATTTAAAAAAAGAATGATATTTGACAAGGAGTCAAAACATAAGCATGTGCCAAGAGAAAGAAAAGCACCTTCAGGCAATCTTCCAGGGGACCCAGTACTTTTTTGGATTCTTTCTATGCCTGATGATCGATCTACACTTACATTTGTGTAGAATTAGTCTCACTCGAAAGAAAAATCTGCAATAAAATTGAATTAATGCTTATATTATTGTTTGGAGCTGGTGGCTGTTTACCACAGCTTTAAGGAGTTGGTGCGCATAAACTCTCATTACTGTTATCTGTACTACACCCTTTTTACCACCTTTGAAGCCTAAAGAAGAAAAGTGAAATCCATAGCTGCTGGAATTACAGGAGAGGACCACCACACCCGGCGTCTTAGTGGTTTTGATGGAAATCACAGCATCGAACAAACACTGAAATGACAGCATGACCTATCTCTAATAGTGCGGTGTGTGTCCCCTGGAATTCCTGTGTTGAAACTTGAATCCCTGAATTACAGGTTGATCATATTTGGAGGCACTTTGGGAGGTGACTGGCTCTACCGGACTCACCCTTCATACACAGATCAGTCCATTCAAGGATTCATAAGTTTCCTTAGGAGAGTGACTTTGCTACCAAAGTCAATTCTCTCCAGCGGGACAGCTCTGTCTGGCCTCATGATGGCCTCTTCTATGTTAGGATTTAGCCCAAAGACCCTCACCAATGGTCAAGGAGATCCCCAGACCATGTTCGTGGACACTCCTGTCTTCAGAAACTTGAGCCAAATAAACTTTTTCTTTTCTTTTCTTTTTTTTTTTTTTTTTTTTTTTTTGGCTTTGGTATCGGGCATTGATCACAGGGGTGCTTAACCATGGAGAGAAACGTCTAATCCTTTTCTTAAAATGATTATTATTTTTTATTTCGGTACAGGATCTCTCTAAGTTATCTAAGGGTATTGCTAAGTTGTAACAAGTTCGCCAATCCTGCCTCAGCCACCCAGGCTGTCAGGAACACAGGAAAGTGCCAGGGCACTTAGTGAAATTTGATTCTTTTTAAAACAGTCACCACCCAATAGTCTTATCGAAAAAAGAAAAAAAAAAAAAATATATATATATATATATATATTTACATACATACACATATGCCTAAGATGCATGACAGATATGCCTATCAACTTTGTAAGACACATACATACTGATGTGTTTTTTCAAAGTTAGCACATATGTTAGAAATAGAGTCAAAAACAATTGACATTATTATTTATCTGCTCTTGGTGTTAGCTCGGAGAAACTGAATTGTGTAGGGAGTTACAAGAGGCTTGGGTGCAATCTGGATTTCCAAACATTCTCCCAGGGCCCTAAGAGAAACCTGATCAATGGCTGTCTCTTCCCAAAGAACCCACAGGACCAGGGGCCCCCAGGGAAGCAGCAGCAGCCAGGAGATGGTGTCATAGGAAGTCACAAGGCAGGGCCTTGGTAGGAAGCTGTGTGGACTGGAACAGACAAACCCTCTCACAGGCTACTGCAGGTTTCTGGGGGCACTAGCCTCTTGTCCCTCACCTTGGAGCAAGACACACAATGCCCGTTTGTGATGTCACTGTCCTCTCAGCTCAGTGAGAAAAGCCCGATAGGCCAGCTCAGGTGGCACCTGTGTAATCAATCCTAGTGTCCCTCACGGATCACTTCCTACAAGACTATACCTTTGTGCTTTGGTCCTGCGTGGCCCTCCACAAGGAGGTTGCTAAGCCCAGCTTGTATCTTGGACCATCGGACCTGGTACTGGCCCTCCCTGCCTTACTGCTAGGGCTGTCATGCATTAAATGCACATGGGATGGGACCCAATGAAAATGTTTCCCTAACCAGACTTCCCTCTAGGTGCTCCACTTGTGCCCCTCCAATTGGAAGAAATAAATAAATAAAATGGCCAGAGGAGAAACACTCCAGAAACTACGGCTGCCTTGCATTTTGCTCAATCTCAGAAAACTTGCTCCCCTGGTAAAAAATTTCTTTTGGGTTCCATTGCATATCAACGTGAGATCTAATGAACAGAGTCCTGGGTTATATCCAAGGACCACATTAAAAAAAAAAAAAACCAACTCACCCCATTTTCATGTTCTCTCTCTCTTTTTGAACTCACTTTCCACGTGACCACTTCTTCCCATGTCTGCATTCACCACAGCCTAGAGGACATAAAATACATGAATACCACAACACCAAGTCCCCTACCTCAACATTCTCTGCCTGAAATCTAAAGGGGAAACTTGAAAATAAACCAACATCCAGGCTGGAGGACACCAGTCAGGTGTCTCGAAGAAGCTTCCTCTCTCTCTCCTTGTGACAGACTCGTTTTTTAAGGCCACTTTAGAAAAGTAGATGATGCTAGCGATTTTCATTCAACTTTAAAAGTCACTTCATAGTATGGTTTCAATGGTTGTGCCCTGGAAACCCATTGTCGGAAAGTTAATCCCAAAATTATGTGTGAACGGGAACTGAAGTATTTCTGGGAGGTCACTGGCTCATGAGAACTCTGCCCTCATGCACAGGCACTGATCAGTCCACTCATGGATTCATAGGTTTTGTGGGGAGTGACTCTGCTATAAAAGCCAGGTGTCTCCAAGAAGCTTCCTCTGTCTCTCTGTGCTGGCCTCTTCCACATTATGATTAAGCAAGAAGACCCCCACCAACGGCTCAGCAGACACTGAGGTCCTATTCTTAGATTTCCCATCTCCACAACCATGAGGACAGGAAATGTCCATTTCTTACAAAATACTCAGCTTCAGGTATTTTTGTTATGGCAACAGAACCTAGACTAAGACACATCACCATGTGCACATTGGCTCTCTGGAAGACATACATATTGACACGTTGGATTCCCAACTTCTTGTGTCCTAAAAAGAGTAAAAAACAAACCGAACCGTGTCATTTCTCTCACCTGGTCTGAGCACTCACAAACTACAGAGGGAGGAAGACTGGGTGCAGTTCAACTCAGAACAGACTGAATGAGCAGGGCCTCCCTGAACGTTCCACCAGAGAGAGGGGAGGCCCAGGGGAGGATGGCACTCAGGCCTTGGTCAGAGTTCAGATGGAAAACAACAGGAGAGAGGAGCTGGAAGCTGCTGCACTGGCACCACGATTTCCAGCTGGTCCTGGGCAACACGGCAAAGCCTGTCTCGGGCAGAATCACGACAGAGGCAAACATCGTGAACCAAACGCCACAAATACTGAAAAAGCAAAAGCAGCATCGGGAGCTGCTTCCTCAGAACTGGGCAAAGGACAGGGCGGCCATGTTGCCTGGTGCCTTTGTCTGGGTGGCGTTTTTTCAGACAGCCAGGGCGGGAGAGGCGCGCTCAGGCCCAGGGCTGCTGGCCATAGCTGGAGCTCTACCGCCACCGTGCGGAACCAGTTTCAAGACGCCCTGCGCCACTCAAGCCTCCTTCCCAGGAGGCCTCGCTGTGGGGGAGGATCTGTGTTTCAAGGAGCGAGTTCCAAGCGGCTTGGGCTGCCCTCTGGGCCTCCTGGCCTTCTCCCAGGGTCCTGAGGGAGACCTGGGCTCTGGCGCGCTCTCAGCAAAGAACCCGGAGAGCCAGGGACCTGAGGGGACTAGCAGTGGGCAGGAGCTGGTGTCAGAGGAAGTCGTGGGGCGGGGCCTCCATAGGAGCTGCTTGGACTGGAGTGGAGGGACCCACTTAGGGCGCATGCAGGGAGGTCGCCCAGGGCTAAGGCGCCAAGTGCAGGGAGGAGCTGAATTCCCTGAAGCAGGGACTGGGGGCAGTTGTTTTAGCAGGCCAACAACCAGAGGCAAGACAGCTGTTTCTTGCTTAGCTACTGATGTCCAGGGTTGATGTGTCCCAAGCAGAGAGGAGATTATGTGCTGCAGGCAGATGGTAGTGCCCCCAGAGCTGTGCTTGCAGCCACAGCTGTGCATGGCCACCATGTCTGTGCTTATCATGGGCTGCGATGGCTCTCCTTCTGGCTCATCAGAGAAGTACCCGGCAGCAACCTGCATAGGTCCCGTTGGCCTGATGGACTCCTCTATGGTAGAGATGAGCAACCCGCCCGCCAAGTGCCAAAGGCCCAGACACTGGCAGGACAGGCCACAGTCCTTGAACCGACCTCAGGGGCCAGTGCCCAGGTCTCCCTCAGGGCCCTAGGAAAAGGCAAGGAGGCCCAGATCTGAGCCCAAGGATCTTCCAACTCCCTGCCTGCCGGATCTGACCAAGAACTAGGCCTCCTGGGAAGGAGGCTTGAATGGAGCTGGGTGTCGTGAAACTGTTTCCGCACGATGGCAGTAGAGCTGCAGACATGGCCACCAGCCCTCTTCCTGAGCACTCTTCTCCAGCCCTTCCTGTCTGAAAAAACACCACCACCACCAAAAAAAAAAAAAAAAAAAAAAAAGCTTACAGAATCACGTCATCAAGAAGTAGTTTTTTTTTTCCCCCCTTCAAAAGTATTTATTTATATATTTTTGCCGTACTACTGAGCAACAAACCCCATACGACCCTATCCCTGAAATTTTAATTTTTTTCTCGGGAAACAGGCTCTTGCTAACTTGCTTAGGGCCTCACTCATTGCTGAGTCTGCCTACTAGCTTGCAGTCCTCCTGCCTTGGCCTCTCATACTGCTGGGATTATAGGTATGGGCCACAAAGCTCTAGAATTTAGTGAATTAAAGAGTGATGTTTGAGGAGGAGTCCAAAAGGAGCATGTGCTAAAACAAAGAAAAGCACCAGCAGGAAACCTTCCAGATGACCCATTCACCTTTTGGATTCTTTCTATGTATATTGTTAAATCTATACCTACATTTGTGTAGAATCAGTCTCACTTGAGGGGAAAAAAAATCTATAAAAATTTGAATTAATGCTCCTAACATAATTTAGAGCAGACTTCTATTTAACGCAGCATTGAGGAGCTGAGGAACATGAACTCTCATGAATGTCATCCTTCCTAAAACTCTGTTTTATACATTTGAAGCCTAAAGGAGAAAGGTGAAATTCCTAGTCAATAGGATCACAGCTATGAACTCCTGACCTGGTGTCTTAGTGGTTTTGATGGAAACCACAGCATCGAACAAACATTGAAATGACAGCATGACCTATCTCTAATAGTGCGGTGTGTGTCCCCTGGAATTCCTGGGTTGAAACCTGAATCCCTGAATTACAGGTTGATGGTATTTGGAGGGACTGTGGGAGGTGAGTGGCTCATGAGGACCCTGCCTTCATGCAGAGATCAGGCCATTCAGGGATTAATAGGTGTGCTCAGGAGTGACTTTGCTATCAGAGTCAACACTCTTCAGCGGGACTGCTCTGTCTGGCCTCATGATAGCCTTTCCTATATTATGATGTAGCCCAAAGACTCTCACCAATGGGCATGCACATCCCCAGGCCATGTTCGTGGACATTCCTGTCTCCAGAACCATGAGCCAAACACATTTTATTCCTTTTTCTGGTTTTGGTACTGGGCATTGAACCCACGAATGCTCAACCACAGAGCGGCATGCCCAATCCTTTTCTTAAACTTCTAATGAGTTTTTATTTGGGGACAGGATCTTTTAAGGTAACTAATTGTCTCGCTATGTGGTAGCAACTTTGCAATTTGCGTTCCTCCTGTCTTAGCCATACTGGCCACCAGGACACGGGCATGCACCAGGACAACTGGCAAAATTTTATTTTTTCAAAAATAGTAACCCTCCAGTATTCTTATAGCATGGAAAAAAAAATGCCTAGGATGCATGACTGATCTACCTCTCAACTCTGAAGGACACATATATGACTATATATTTTTTCAAAGTTATCACATGTGTTAGAAAAAGAGTCAAAGATACTTTGTAATTTATCTGGTCTTGTGTTAGCTCTGTGAACTGCTGGGCAAGTAAAGAGAAGCAAAGTAAATAATAAGGGAGTGGAGAAGGTACCATGGGGCAAATTAAATTCCCAAGAACCAGAGTAATGATGCCAGGGTGAGGATTCATGCCTCCACTTAATTCCAAATTAAAAACAAAAGCAGAAGAAAGGCCTGGGAGGCTGAAGCAAAACACCAACAGATGGAGGCCCGCCTGGTCAACCTACCTCAAAAGTTCACAACTTAAACCTGGTGCAGTAATGCAGACCTGTAATCCCAGAGGCTGGGGAGGCTGAGACAGGAGAATCCCGAGTTCAAAGCCAGCCTCAGCAACTGCAATGCACTAAGCAACTCAGTGAGACCCTGTTGCTAAATTAAACAATACAAAATAGGGCTGGGGATGTGGCTCAGCAGTCCGGTGCTCCTGAGATCAATCCCTGGTATGCCTCCCCCCCTACAAAAAACTTCAAAATTTAATAGGGGAAAAAAAAATTTTTTTTAAACTGAGATTGTGGCTCAGTGGCAGAGTGCTTGCCTCGTATGTGTGAGGCACTGGGTTCGATCCTCAGCACCACATAAAAATAAATAAAAAATAAAATAAAGGTATTGTTTCCATCTACAACTAAAAAAATTTTTTTTTAATTATTAACAATGAAACAATGCAAAAGAAAAAGGCACCATTGAGAATGTACTCCAACAATGGTAGCAAAACCCAAGGTGAATGTTCCCAGGTGATTTTGTCTCTGGCTGGCACTTGTACAGAAAAGAAGAGCAGAAGAGCACTCAGGATCCAGGCTGGTGGACTTGGCTGGAGCACTCCCACCATCCTGAGGAAACAGGTAGCAAACACTGTGCTCCACTGAAGCCTCCTTCCCAGGAGACCTAGGTGTTGGGGAGGATCTGGCTTTTGTGGAGCAAGCTGCAAGAGGCTTGGGTTGCCATCTGGGCAGGACGGGCCACAGTCCTTGAACTGACTCTAGGGCCAGTGCCCAGGTCTCCCTCAGGGCCCTAGGAGAAGGCAAGGAGGCCCAGATCGGAGCCCAAGGATCTTCCAACTCCCTGCCTGCCCCATCTGCGCAACTGCTAGGCCTCCTGGGAAGGAGGCTTGAATGAATGGGCCTCATTGCCTTCTCCCAGGGGCCTGAGGGAGACCTGGGCGCTGGTGCTCTCTCAGCAAAGCACCTGGAGAGCCAAAGAAAGAAGAAAGAGAGAACCCTGGAGAGCCAGGGTTCCCCAGGGGACCAGTAACACTCTTGGGGGCAGGGCCTTGGTAGGAATCTGTGAGGACTGGACCAGAGTAACCCTGTCAAAGGCCAACGCAGGTTACTGAGGGCACTTGCCTCGTGTTTCTCCACTGGAGCAAGACACAGAATGCCCTTTTGTGACATCAGTTTAACAGCGCATGGATCCTGCCTCGAAGCTGGGTGAGAACAGCAAGACAGGCCAGTTTTTTTGGCACCATTGGAGGCAAAGCTGGTGTCTCTCACGGATCAGCTTCTGCAAGACTCTGCCTTTGTGCTTTGGTCCTGCGAGGCCCCCAACGAGGAGGTTGCTAAGCCCAGCTGGAACTTCAGCCCAATAGAACTGCTATTGGCCCTGCCTCCTTTACCTGCTAAGACATTCATGCAGAACTTATTCATGGGGTGGGACTCTATGAAAATTTTTCTTTCACCAGACTTGACTCCAGGCCCATTGTGTGTGCCTCTCCAATTTAAAAGAAAAAAAAAAATTGTCAGAAGAAGAGACACTCACTCCAGAAAGTGTGGCTGACTTGCATTTTCCTCAATCTCAGGAAATGTGCTCCCCTGCTAAAATTTTCCTTTTGGGTTCTATTGGATATCAACGTGAGATCTAACATTCACAGTCCTGGGTTCCATGGCAGGACCACATTGAACAAACAATAACCAAAAAGTCAAAAAGGGCCTACCCTTGGGCTGGGGATGTGGCTCAAGCGGTATTGCGCTCGCCTGGCATGCGTGCAGCCCGGGTTCGATCCTCAGCACCACATACAAACAAAGATGTTGTGTCCGCCGAAAACTAAAAAATAAATATTAAAATTCTCTCTCTCTTAAAAAAAAAAAAAAAAAAAAGAAAGAAAACAAACAAACAAAAAAACCGGCCTACCCTGTTTCATCTTTTTTCTTTGTGAACTCATTTTCCACGTGACCACCTCTTCCCATGTCTACTCTTCACTCAGCCTTCTTCTCTGGTGGTTCCTCATGGTATCCCACTGTCTTGGGCTCTTGGATGCCAAAGCTCAGGTACGCTTGCCTAGGAAGGAGTAGAAAATGTTTACACCAAGGACATGGGGAAGAGGGAATGTAGGCAGCAGGACACTGGGCTGTGTGCCTGACTCACTTCCGTCCCAGATGTAGACCCAGGCACCAGGCCTGGTGGGACCAGTGGGAGGCCTACAGTAGAAGCAGCTCTCCCAGGAGGGTCCAGATGGATCAAGACTGAATGCAGTATGATCCCTCCTTGCAGGTGTGTGACAACAGCAGGACGGGGCATACTGAGGCACCTGTAGGCTCAGTCCTGCTGTCCCTAATGCTCCACATTCTACAATAGGACTCTGCACTCATGGTGCTTTGCTCTGACCTGGCCTTAGACCAATAATAGGCCTGGAGGCCTAGATTCGTAATGGGACCTCAGGCACCCCAGGGTCCTGTCTTGGTCAGCTCCTAGGCCTTTCATGCAGGATGGGCTCAGGGGGTGGGGCTTCTTCAAAGGATTTCCTCAGGATGGTAGTATTGCCCCACAAGAGAGAACCAGCCTTCCTTTCTGTTGCTCTGCTGCTACCACTCCAATTTGAAAAATAAAAAAAGGAGAGAAAGAAAATCAAGCCAGTCATTTCCAGAAACTATGGCTCCTTGCATTTGGCTCAATTTGATGTAACATGCTTCACCATTAGAAGTTTGGTTTTCATTTCTAGTGGATGCCAAACTGAGAAGGAATAGGTAAGACCCTGGCTCTTATCTCCAGGAAGGAAAGAAAGGGAGGCAGGCTGGAAGGAAGAGCAAAGCCAGGCAAATTTGCCACGCTGGCCTCCAACATGGGACTCACCCAGTAGCTCAGCTTTCAGTACCTGGTGCCTTTCATTATTCATCAGAAACCATACTAGGGCCTGAATTTCCTCTTCTTTCCTCAGAACTCTTGTCCTGGTAGAACTTCATTTTCCACAGGATTTCATCCATTCAGGTCGTATTTTACACAGTGTCACTGGGTCTGGAGATCCCAGAGCATCTCATTATCTCCTTGGGGATCAACTCT